AGAAAGAAGAAAATAGTAAGTATATAACCTACAGCTTCCTTGTTATTCTGGAGAATTGAACACTAGAAATGCTTTTTGCTTAGGAGATTAAATCCAATATAAATTAAGGTTACATTTACCAATGTCGTTTTCATTAATTTGGGCAACAGAGTGTGCGTAGTGCAAGGTGTTTTAGATGTGCTGCAGACAAACGTCCTTCCTAATGGAATAAGTGGCAGTGGAAGGTAGCAAGAAAATGAGCCCCAGTTTCAAACCTAGGGATAAAGTGTTTTGAAATCAAATCATTGTGTGTTTATTATGTTTGCAATCCTAGAAGAATGAATGGATAATAAAAGTCAAAAAACTGTTACTTTCCTATGAACATTTTGTCTAAATCTTTAACATTTGTTTTGGGGGAGGAGACAAGAATTGAGGCCATTTAATCATGCAAAACTTTGAAATGAAATTCTAAATTTTGAATGGTTCATTTATTCTTAGCTCTGACCTTGACAAATTTTACTGTGACATGCATCACATTGAGAATACATTGAAGATAAACACAAGTTTAAAAAAAAAAAACAGAAAGGAAAAGCCAATTTTGTTTTAGAGAGTAGTGAAAAAACAGACAGGCTGACAATCATGTTCTCATTGCTTGAGGAGAATCCCATTTTTACAAATCACAGAAAGTATGCTATTTCTTATACTTATTTCTTTGCTAAGTCTTACAACCTATAAACCATTCGAGAGCACATGAACAAGTGGGTATAGTTGGAGGTTGAGGAAGCAGTGAAGCAAGTCTTTATCTCCTTTATGATATAATTGCTGTATGTAATTGATTTAATATGAATGAAAATGGGAAGAGGACTTTGGATTTTCTCAGATTGCCTTCATGTGAAACTTTTTCATTTTGAGAATCAGTAAAGTTTTCAACCCCCTTTGCTTCCCAAGCATTGAGAAAGCTTACACTTGTTTCTCCCTGGGATTTGTGCATTTCTTTAGTTGATGTGCTTGACACAGAGAACTAAAGGTGGGCTTTATAGTCATAACAAACGAAATCTGAGTTGGATACATAATGATGTGGCCCTATTGATTGGGAGTGTGTATGTGAAAGCACTTAGGCAACTCTAATATGCAATGCAAATGTAAATGTTTGTTTGTATTTTATTACTATTACTAAAGTTCCATAATAACTTTTGTTTTCTTTGCCCTTTTTGAAGTAAAATATGATGGCTTGATACAATAAAGATTTGGATTTGTTCTTTTTAACTAACTCTAAAACCAGGGTATAGTTCAGAGAGTAGAAACCAAGAAAAGAGCTTAGTGTTCTTATGATAACTGAACTATAGTCACTTTTCAATTATCTGGGCCCCACCAAAAATCCAACACAGTAGATAATTTTTGATATGTGTCTTTTCTTTGAGGATACCTATTATGAAAAAAAATTGCTAGAAGAGAAAGGGAAGGGCAATTGTCTAATTAGGTGTCCCTAAGTCTCTCACAAAATATGCCTTCCCAGAGCACAGCTTGAGATTTAACAACACCACAAATAATAAAGTGGCTTAGCCACATGTAGATCATTGAGAATTTACTATTCTGTTCTTGACTTGGCTGGATAGCTTTGTCCTATGCAGCTATTGGGCTTTTTTGAACATTTAAACCAATGGATTTAGTTCAGTAAACATGGCCAGATGTTTCTGTCTCCATATCTGATATTGTTCGGCAGATTTTGGAAAAGATGAAGTGGAGTTTGTAGATTGATCTTGGAAAATTGCTCTATGCAAATGCAAAATGAATGAATTGTATTTCATAGCAAAAGGATGGGAGGAGGGGGTGAAGGAAGAACTAAGGCTGACCAGTCTTCTCATTAGAGAAGACTGTTGTTTTTTTCTTCATGGAAATTCCTTGAGGTCACTATTGGCAGCTTTTGTCTGCTTATGTTTCTTTGCTTTTTTAGATTCAAATGCAAATTTGTCATCATTTGCTTAATAATATTCTTAAGCAAATTGTAAGCGAGTTCTGTACCTATAAGATGTGGCTATCTGGTGACAAAGCTCTTACCTTCTTAAAACAAATTACATCCAGTTCTATAATTTCATCTGACTACATGATTTTCCAAAGTACGTCACTCTTTAATACCCTCATTTGTGAATTTTTTCAGTCAATAACAATGAAAGATAAAAACTATTTTGAACACCTGTCATAAGTAGCAGCTAGAACATTATCTTTGAAACTTTTCTCCCTACTCATCTTCCTTTTTGGGAAAATATATTTTCCTTTAGCCATTCTTAATGCTTTCATTTATCACTCCTCACCAGTAATATTAGGCATGAGGTGCTGACTAAGGCACAATATCATATTAATATTCATATACCTATAATTTTAAAAATTCTTCCCTACTCAGCAAATTGAGGCTCTTTCCTTTAAGGCTCAACTCACATCTCCCTATATTTCTTAACACTGAATCACTTTCCACAGTTTGTAACTATGAATTACATAATTATTTGATTATTGTCTGTCTCCCCCCTACCACCACCACCACTATAAGCACCTTGAGATCAGAATCCACATCTGTTTCTATATCCCCAGCCCCTAACATGTTTCCTGGCACATAGTTGGCACTAACCAAATATTAATTAATTAATTAATTAATTAATGAGTCAGAAAATAACATCAAATATTATATCCTTCTTGAATTATTTCCTAATCCTTTCAACCACCACTCCCATCTCACACCCCACTGACAGAATTGAACATTCCCTCTTCTGTATGTCAATGGAAATTTTCAAGCAACTTGAAGGACCAACCATACATTCAGGTTTGCCTGAGACATCCTCAGTTTATGCCTATTGTTCTGACATAATTATTAGTCATGTTCCTTTTATCCTCAAAAGTGTCCCAGTTTGGACTATAATTGAGATGGTCGCTCTCTATAGAATTATGTTTCAGCATTTCCTAGGGCTATTCCTAGTTTTTTATTCGTTTTCGAGTTCTTTGAGAACAGGTTCAGTTCTGGTTTCTCTTCCTAGACCCGGGGTTTATCACAGTGTCTGGCGCTCAGTGACTGTCCTTTTGAATGAAAAGACATTCCTCTGTCTTTGCTTCAAGAAATATGCATTGTAAAATAAACACAAGAAATACATGACACCTACACACCTACATAGGTTTTAGGACAAACAACCAACATTTTTCCTAAAATCTTCTTGCTTAAGGCTTTGAAATGTAAATCCAAATTTGTATTTGCTAGGTCATTTATTTCTCTTCTGCTTTAGCTTATTGAATAGGAAACTTTCACAATAATAACTAGCAATTTCAATGAGGGTTTCCTATGTAGTGAGATTTTCCCTGAGTTTAAATTTACTATTGTATATCTACGTAAACATGGTAACAGTGCTCACACCAACGTCAATTTGGACAGAGAAAAATATCATATAGTAGAGAAGGAGAAAAACATTCTATGATCCACAAGGTAAGAGTAGTCAAATTTATCTTTTCCAGGTACCTCTGATGTGTCAATAAAATATACATTTAGTCTTATAAAAAGTTGTTTTTAAGTGACTTTGGAGCTTTGAATACATGCAGGGAGGACAATCTCAATGCCCTGTGTGCACTAGAAATTATTTTGAAGAGAATAAAATGTAAGTCAGATAGTAAATGTGAAATTTATAAAGGAAATAGGCTTTAAAATTTGAATAACAAAGATTAAGGGAGAAGTGAAAGTGAAATGGATGTCTGTCTGTTGGCTGATTCGTTAAGGGAAAATTCTGAAATCATAAGTGATAGGATCATCATTAAAGAAGTCATTACATGCTGCCTGAATATCAGTTCTGAGATGTCAGTTCTGTGTGCATGCGATGTTTTCAAACATGGCTCTCTTAAAGTGAGCATGCAGTTATGCATATTATTCTTAGATATAGCTACTGTTGGCTTTTCTTCTTGTTTGTACAAATAGTATTCAAATATAAGTGGAAAACCCTAGGACACTGATTACATAGACACTCTGGTTTTACATTAGTGAGCACAGCTGCTATCTAAAGAGTTTGTCAGTGCTCACAGGTCTATAGCCTTGCCTCACTGTCAGTCTTTTTCTTTTTAAACTGAACACCTGGTGATATCTGTTGAACCCTTTACCTATATTGAGAACCTACTATATTCTGTTCACTTTTCAAAGCACTTTCCTTACTTCATCTTATGTAATCCTCACCCTGTGAGGTAACTATCAATGTTCTCATTTTACATATGAGGAAACTGAGGCTCAAATTGAAGGAAACACTTTGGCCAGGTTAGAACTCAAACCTGTGGGCACAGATGAAGTAAGTGAGGAGTTATTAATATATTTTTAAATGTTCTGGTCTCTCATGCAAGTTGAGTTGATTTTCTCCTTTTATTTACCAATTACAATAAATAAAAGAGGCTGCAGATACAATTCATGAGTATGCACAAACCTCTTAACTTATCTGGAGCACACAGTTCTCTACTTGTTTACCCTTATAGCCTGTTTCAATTGCTTGAAAGCAATTTTAATGGTTTTCCTGTCTCCCCAGTAGATGGGGTTCCCTGATATTTTGTAAAGAGTAGTACTGGAGAGGTTGTGCTCTTCAGGAGTGGAGTTCAGCTTTAGCAAAAAAGACCTGGCGTAGGATTTGGAAAACTTACCTGGCAGAAAGGAAGAGAGATAGTCCTTTCAAGGATGTATATATTCATGCACCCTGTTGAAATGCCATGCTTCTTTTTCTCAAAGTTGTTGCATTAAGCAGTTAACTTGAGCTGTGATTTTAACAGTTAACTTCTGTGTGTGTGTGTGTGAATTACAGCATTGTTGCCAACTCTGAAATTTTCATATCTAGAATTATTAGAGAATTAGAGACTCTCTATATTTTTAATGTAAGGTGAGTCCAATGATTTTAGTCAGAAAAATAAAATGTCAGACAACCTGTAGTTTCTTAGGAAGAAACCTCTGTGTTCTAAAATGCTTTCCCAAGAATTTTAATAAACATAATTATGATATGTGTATCTATTTGTAGGGACTGGTAACATCTGAACATAACAAACCAAACAAGCAAACTCTTGCACCAACACTACCACCACGTTTTACCACAAAAGAATGCCACTGTACGTGGATTCCAAGCAGGCTAAAAAGGAAAAGAGCTGATTCGATTTCAAACTGCCCACTGAACGGGATGACAGCCACGGCCGCCGTGGAGACACCAAAAATGGAGAAGAGTGCTTCTAAGGAAGAGAAGCAGCAGCCTAAGGAGGACAGCACAGAGCAGGGCTGTGCTGATTCTGAAGAGTGGATAAGTTCTGAGAGTGACCCTGAACAGATGAGCCTTAAGAGTGTCAACATCAATGACAACAGCTTCCAACCTGGAGATGCTCAATTGAAGAAAAAGGAAATTCCCTCCAAGCCACACCGCCAGCTCTGTAGATCACCCTGCCTAGATCGTCCAAGCTTCTCCCAGAGCAGCATTCTACAGGATGGGAAGCTTGACTTGGAAAAGGAATACCAAGCCAAGATGGATTTTGCTCTAAAGCTGGGCTATGCAGAGGAACAGATTCAATCAGTGCTGAACAAGCTCGGCCCAGAATCACTTATTAATGATGTATTGGCAGAGCTTGTCAGACTTGGGAACAAAGGTGATTCGGAAGGGCAGGTCAACTTGAGTCTGTTAGTGCCTCGGGGGCCCAGCTCCAGAGAGATTGCAAGCCCTGAACTGTCTCTTGAAGATGTAATAGACAACAGTGACAATTTGAGGCCAGTTGTCATTGATGGAAGTAATGTGGCAATGAGGTAAGACTGGTATATTTTCTCTGTTTTTTAAAAACTGCCCTGAACTCATAGAAATTGTCTTTGCAAAGCACTTTGAGAGGCCTTTCGTTGTGGTCTGTGGCTTGTACTCCTCTAGGTAGACAGAGGCTAAAATGATCTGGCTGTAGACTTTTCTGTCTCCTTTGAAATTGTTGCCAGAGTCTTTTCGGGTATTCTGAAAGCAGCTTAGACATCAGTGATGCTTCAGAGGAGACATAACCATTCAGCCTTTGCTCCTCTTGGCGTCCCCTCTCCCACTTCTACTTGGCTAGGCCAATCATCCTGAAAATCCTGGCTTTATAATGTTACTTGGGGGCTTACTTGAGAACTTGCAGTAACTCCCAATTGCCGTTCTACCAAATTTGGATCCCTTTGCCTGGCTTTGTGATCTGACCTTTCCCTCCTCCCATTTGATTGCATCTCTCACACTTACTGCATTTACATCAGTCTCTTTAACAGTCTCCATGTAAATTATGCTGATTTTTATCCACCTTACTTGTGTTCATGTAATTTCCCAACTTAGGAGTAACCTCCTCCTTATATTCATACCCTCCACAAACACCATCCTGACTTTTCTGATCCCAATGATTGTCTCTGAGCTTCAGTACCTATGGTAGGCTGAATAATAGCCCACTAAAGATGTACACATCTTGATTCCTAGGATCTGTGAATATGTTATCTTACATGGTAAAAGGAACTTTGCAGATGTGATTAAGATAAGGATCTTAAAATGGATTATCCTGGATTATCAAGATGGGCTCAATGTAATCATAAGGGTCTTTGTAAGAGAGAGGGAGGCAGCAGGATCAGAATGAGTAGTAGGAGATGTGATGACAGAAACAGGAGATTGGGGTGATGTAAGAAAGGGGCCATGAGCCAAGGAATGTGGTCACCCTCCAGAAGCTGAAAAAGGCAAGGAGACGAATTCTTCCCTGAAGTCTGAAGAAAGAACACAGCCTTGCCAACACCTTGATTTTAGACTTCTGACCTCCTGAACTATAAGGGAATAAATTGGTGTTATTTTAAGTTACTGAATGTGCAGTAATCTGTTACAGTAGCAATAGAAAAGTAATACATAACTAACAGTGCCTTTATACTTTATTCCATACTCTCTCAAATAACTTTTTATCTCATGTCAGAGAGCCTTAGGAATCCCTTCTTCTATTTTTCAAATGAGTTATTATCCAGCTTTGGCTTAAAACTTCCTAGTGATCAGGAGCCTGTTTCCTATTGAGTCCACCACTGCTTGATGAACTCACTAGAATTCTTAGACTGTACACAATCAGAACTAAGTAAAAAGCTTTAGACTAGTATGTCTTTCATTTGATTACCCCATTGTCTTTGAAGGCAGGGACTTTGTTTTATGCCTCTCTGGTTTTCCCCACAGCACACAGAAGAGTATTTGATGCTCCCACAGAGATATGAGGGAGCGGGGATAGGGGCAAGTCTTATGAACCATACCATTGCTGTATGCAGGAGTTGCTTGCAGGCTATCTGGAGGTACATTTTAATATAAAATTCTATTTAATCTTTATAGCAACTTTACTTTACAGATGAGAAAACTAGAGCTCAGCAAGGTTAAATGACTTCTTTGAGGTTACTTTTTATAGCTAGTAAGTAGCAAAGTGAGGACTTAAACTTGTATTCTGGCTTCAAATGGATGAAATGAAACTAACATTTATAAATCTCTATTCTGTATAAATCTCTATTCTGTGCCAGATGCTTTTGCACAATGTGATTTAATCCTCACTAAAAAATCTACAAGAATGGACTAATTAGGTTCATTTTTGCATGTGAGGAGACAGGTTCAGAGAGATAGAGTAACTGCCCAAGGTTACACAAATAATAAATGGCAAAGCTTGTATTAAAACTTGAATCTGACTCCAATGCTCCTTCGACAATATCATGCAATAATATGTATCTATTACTGTTATTAAGAATATTTGACATCCTTCCTAGTAACAGAAAATATATTTTCAGATTTCCTTTTTCAAATCTTTTAAATCATGACAGCATCATCACAAAGTGAGTAAAGCAGGCGAGGCATCTCTCCTGTTTTAATGAGGGGAAACTAGAAGTACAGTAACAAGAAAGTTAAATGACCTGTACACAATACTACAGTAATCAGAACGATGCAGTGGGCCAGTGAAAAGGAGAGAGCGATTTTTATGTTCAAAGGACCGAAAGTAACTCTGCTCCCCTCTTAATAGTATACCATACTGTATACCAGAGTGATTCTTGAGGGGAAGAGATATGGCATCTGCCAAACTCAATCACTTACCAGACCAGACTACCCAAAACACCTTAGATTAGACCTATTTCCCAAAGCCTACCCTTCTATAAGGGTGTTGTGTTTGGGAGATGAAGATGAGAACTCAGGACTTCTTTGAGGACTTTGACTTCATGGTGATATAAGATCTTCCTTGTTTTTGGACTTCTATTCAAGGGTTGCTGAGTTACGAAGGACACTCTATGGCCCTTTTACTTTGTAAGAAATAATGAAGAGATTAATTACCAAGGTAATTCATTTCAACATATCTAGTCTATGCCAGTAGCAAACTGCCATACTAATAGGAAGATGAACTTTTGTCTTTTGTAGGAGTTGCTTTACTAAATTAAAGATACCTCACACAATTTAAAGCAAAAAAAATCAGCACTCAACCTTATTTTTAGGAGCGTATTAAAATAATGCATAGTGGACCACGTGATTTTTTTAAATTGCCAACTGTGTCCTTGTTAGCATCTCTTCCCTTGTCTGACTAGGTAAGTTACTGATGAGTCCCGTTTATTCTGCAATCACATTTCACACGGTCAAAGTTCAGTGCCATGGTCTGCCTATGAATTTGTTAGTTCCTTTAATCTAAATTCAGTTTGTTTCCCCATTGGTTAGCTGTAACTTTGTCATGAGATTGGTACTTCTTAGACAAACTACATATTAACATCTGTTGTTCCTCAGCATGTTGAATGAGCCTGCATTGAAATCATGATGCTTTGTTTGTCATCAACAGCATTTGTTTAACATTTGCAGTAGTGATGTACCTGTGATTCACATACTGATATATGGTAAGATCCTAAAGGGTATGTTCATTCTGAAAGCCGTCTCCTTTGGGAGGAAAAATCTATTTCAGGGGAATTAAGTCTTTAAAATGTAAATGCTGCCATATTACTTGTTAAGTCTGGGAGAAGCCCAAATATTTGAACACTGCAAAAAAAAAAGTGAAGAGGGAGAGGCCGGTGACCCATCTGCTAGGTAGAATTTGGCTTGGAACCTGGATCATAATATGTATGTGAGCCAGTTTACAGGACAAAGTGAGCTGTAGTGTCACCAAGACATCCTATGACTTACAAGTCTAGGCTTTCGATTTTTTAGATAGTCTCTTAGGTCCTAGCATTTTTTAGATTGGAAAAGGACATTTTGTGGGTTTGGGCTAAAACAGGTCATCTTCCAAGCTTTATTTTCCACTTTTTAAAAATTTATTCTTTCCTTAAATATTTATTGAGAGCTAAACTTTGCATTCCGGGCCCTTATGTAGGACTTCACTGCCACCTTGATAAATGTTGAATGTGAATTCTGATTCCTACTAGGCATTTGGTGCACTTCATGGAACACTCCAATGGCATGATTTTAATATATTTTCACTGGAATGCTATATGTATTTAACAGTTTTTCTTAACGTGATAATTCTCGGTATGCTAAAAAATTGATATCAGGATACAGATGCATCAAAATATTAACAGTGTTTATCTCTGGGTGGTATTAAACCCTATTGTGCAGCGTTTTTTCTTTATATTTTGTGTATTTTCCACATTTTATACTATAAGTATATATTACTTTTATAATGATGAAAAATATTTTTAAACAATGAATTTGCCAGTATACAATATAAAATTAGGGTATCCGATGTAAATGTTACTCTTATATTTATTTCTAGTCTTAAACTGTGTTAGGGAGGACACACTTTATAGCACCACAGAACCAAGTGAAATGAAATCCCTTCTTCCTCCAAATTCCCCCTCTAATGACAATTCTGATGATTTTCCTGAGTTCATTTTATACTTACCAGCACTATAGCAGTGGGAAAAGTTACAGCTGGTCATCTCCTCCCACCTATTTTATGCTGAGGTCATCTAATTTTAATCCTTTACCAGCCATGGACTTGCCCAATTTACCCATTGTTCAACTTTTTAGAAGCAATCAGTGGTAGCTGTCTCTAAGGCTACCTTGGAGTATATTGGCAATTAAATATATTTTCCTTTCTTTTTTTTCTTAAGTGCTTTGACTTTTATTAGAGTAGTAAAATTACTTTATGGTACTCACTGGAAACTTTTGAACATGATTAACATGTGTTTGGAAATGTTAATAAAGGCATCTAATAAATTTTTGTCATGTGCCTCAAAAGTGATAAGACACTGGGAAGTCTTGCGGTGCAGGTATTAATGGGGCCCCTGAGATTGTGTATAAATTCACCCAAAAGAAATAATATAATTGGAGCTAATTTCTCTTATGGTTGAGTGAATGAGTACCAATGAGAAAGTGAGGAATGTAAAAAGCGAGCCCCTATCACATTGTCTTAATTAACCTTCTAGCAAAATGGTCTCTTTTGATCAGTCTTGTTTGACAGGCAATATCCAGTTTATTGTAATAGAATTGATACGTGTATGCCAAGTTCTTTTACCACCCAAGCTGTTTAATTAACTGTAATTTAGTGTGGCTTATACATGTGTCAGAGCACCAGATTCCATGCTAAGAGAACAGAATTTTCACGACCAAACTACGCACAAATCTAGTACATCTTTTGTGAGTTTTTAAGATGATGAGAATAACAGCTATTCATTTGGGGGCTATGGGTAGAAGAAGGAAAAATAAAATCTTTAAGGAGCTGGCCCAATGGCACAGCGGTTAACTGTGCACGTTCCGCTTCAGCAGCCCGGCATTCACTGGTTCGGATCCCAGGTACCAACATGGTACCGCTTGACAAGCCATGCTGTGGTAGGCATCCCAAATATAAAGTAGAGGAAGATGGGCACAGATGTTAGCTCAGGGCCAGCCTCCCTCAGCAAAAATAAGAGGATTGGCGGCAGTTAGCTCAGGGCTAATCTTCCTCAAAATAAATAAATAAATGAATAAAATGAAATAAAATCTTAAAAAAAAAAGATGATGACAATCAATATATTTTCCCCCAATTCATCTGCTAATTTTCCCTCTTCCAATTTCCAATAAAATGAATTTTGTTTGGTTTTTTAAGTTTTTACAATGTTTATTCCTACAATTAATTGTGATAGAACATCTTCTCTAAAAACGTCTTCTGTAAAAACATCATGTTCTAATTATAAAAAGAATACTCATTTTTTGGGGGAAATTTTTGAATTAAAGAAAGAAAATAAGTCATTTATAACCCTCTCACATAGAAGAATTTTTATTAATAATTTGATGTATCTGTTTTCTCGTATTTTTCTAACCTTACACATAGACTTTCTTCTACAAAATTCAGTTTGCATTGTATATAGTTTGTATCCTTTTTCTCTTTTAGCATTATATTGTGATCATTTCCCACATCTTAAAATTTTCAAGAATGTGATTTTTGTTGGTGTGCTATATTTAGTTAAATGTGATAACTATTTTCAGTCAGGATTTATGTGTGTCTTTCTTGCTGTTACTGTTATTTTTTAAGCTTAATATAAGAGCTTAAGACTCATCTCGAACTAATCCTCCATATAAACTTTATCTAGACCTCTGGTGGCACCTCTTCTTTTTTCATCTATTGTGAATATCTGAATCTTTGAAAAGAAAGTGGTGGTGGAAACAGAAAGAGAAGAGAGAAAATGGAAGTAGTGATAGGAAATAGCCACCAGGGCTGCTATAAGTTGGGAGCTGTTATTAATCATCTGTGGCCTTGAATGAAGGTGTAATAATAATGGCAATATTTGTAGTGATTGAATAAAAAAGAATTTGATTTGCTATTTTTAAAAATATATTTTTGGCACCATCAAAATTAGCACGTCTGTTGTTAATGTCTTGGTACAAAGAAAAACCCTGTTTGGAGTAATTCTTTGCTACCTGTTGTCAATCCTCTATCCTCTCATTCTTTATCTTTCTAAAGCCATGGGAATAAAGAAGAGTTCTCCTGTAGAGGAATACAACTTGCTGTGGATTGGTTTTTAGATAAAGGCCATAAAGATATTACTGTATTTGTGCCTGCATGGAGAAAGGAGCAATCCCGCCCTGATGCACCAATTACAGGTACTATTTCAAATAAGATGTTTTTTCTCATCCAGAGGCAAAGCTAGCAAGATAGTTTTGGTAGAGGTTGATGGGCCCAATTTATATATTTTTCTAAGTTTATTAAGTATACTTAAAATATTTTATATTGAGTATATTTTTAAGCATGTTTTTCCTTACCCAAATAATACCATCATTGTGTTGTGGCCTATGGCAGTTAAATACAGGCGACTTCACTTTGGCAAAGAATAAAGCAACAATTGAAAATTAGGAGTGCTTTCTTATTTGAGCATAGACTTCAGACTAAAGTGGGATGAATCTGGTTATGAATGTGACTAAGTTTTCCAAATGACTAAAGAAACCATGGTAGACAGTGGATCTCATTCTGTACCATAGAAGTTATTGTGGGATTTGCAAATTAGGAGGCAGAGTAGAGAGAAAGCAATGTCCCATGGCAGTCAGAGCCAAGTTATCCATGAGGCACAGTAGGACCAGTGCCTAGGGCCTATAAAACTTTTAGGGTCCCATGGAAATGTTTTAATTTTATTATTTTCTTTTAACATCAGAAGGAAAAATTGAATAAAATAACAATGTGTAATAATATATCTAACTAGATTATTTGTCTTTATACCAATGCAGTTGTAAAGTGAATTTTAAATATTTCTTTATGGAAGAAGGGGCCCATGAAGGCAAAAGTGCCTAAGGTCCACAAAAGTCATGATGTGGACCTAATGGCAGTAGGATCACTACATTCACTTACAACAGTATGTGAAGCTAGCTCTTTACAGCATTGGAGAGCATATAGACCCAGTCCTCTGAGTATCAGCTGTTGCCTGATGTGCCAAATGAGAAAGTCCAGTGAATGGCTGTCAGAGCTGTGCCATGGAGCTGTCTGCTAGCTGCTGAACAGGCCCTCAGCCTCAGTCTGAGAGTGGATCCTGGCCTTGCTCAAACCCAGCCTGTAAACTTTCTTTCCTCAGCAAGTAAGAAGCCAAAAAAAGGACGTCAATACTCACATGCTACAGCTTGATGTTTTCTCTTAGTTGTGGCCTTCCATCAGGCAGAGGGCAAAAATGTAAGTCCCTAGGAGTGATGCTTTACTCTCCTCCTGGCAGACGCATCCTCAGCACACTGCCCTGTTTTCTTCAGCAGTCAAAAGCTGGTGCTTCAGCCAAAGGGCAAAACAAGCATCAAGAAAGCTAGTATAGGGGCCGGCCAGGTGGTGCAGCGGTTAAGTGCACACGTTCCACTTTAGTGGCCCGGGGTTCGCTGGTTCAGATCCCGGGTGCGGACATGGCACCGCTTTGCACGCCATGCTGTGGTAGACGTCCCACATATAAAGCAGAGGAAGTGGGCATAGATGTTAGCTCAGGGCCAGTCTTCCTGAGCAAAAAGAGGAGGATTGGCAACAGTTAGCTCAGGGCTAATCTTCCTCAAAAAAAAAAAAAAAAAGAATACTAGTATATCAGTGTTATTTCTCACTCTTCATGGTAGTTTTAAAAACTTAGATGTTATTGAATCCTGTTCCTTCATTTTATCAAAAAGAAAACTGAAGTTCAAAGGGGAAGTTGACTTGCCAAAAGTGACAATCCAAATTACTACCATAGCCAAGAATAGAGGCTACTTTCTCTCTAAGGGCAAATAATATATTCATCTAGTACCGACTTTTGTATTTGTAATATGGAGGTAGAGCTGTTAATTTCGAAAGATGATCTCTACTCTGTGGCATATAATTCATATTTCAACAGATCAAGATATCCTACGTAAACTGGAGAAGGAAAAGATTCTTGTCTTCACGCCATCCAGAAGGGTCCAGGGCAGGAGAGTCGTCTGCTATGATGACCGGTTCATAGTCAAACTGGCTTTTGATTCTGATGGCATCATTGTCTCCAATGATAACTACCGGGACCTTCAAGTAGAAAAGCCAGAATGGAAGAAGTTTATAGAGGAGCGGTTGCTGATGTATTCTTTTGTGAATGACAAGTACGTTTCTTTCCAATAGGCTCTAAATAGCCTAAATCCAAGTTACCACTAGGAACAGATTTCATTTCATTTCAATAAACATCTACTGAACACTTACTGTGTACTGTGCATTATGCTAGTTTCCATAGGGACAAAAGGCTGAGTAAGAGACAAGACTTAGTCTTAAGAGGCTCAAAGTGTGGTGGAAAGAGACAACCACAATGTGTTGTGATAAGTGCTGTGGTTAGAATTTCTTAAATTGCTTTGTTGATGAAAAAGGATAGGGAAAAGCTTCACAGAGGAGATGACATTTGAGATGAAGTTTAGAGACAGAGGAAAGGGAGTTGTTGGGCATTAGAGGTAAAGGGGACATCATGAATAAAGCTATAAAGATGTGAAAGTGGGTTGCATATTGGGGGAACCAGCAGGCATGCCAGTATGACTGGAACATATAGTCCATGGAAAAATGACACACAGGAGAAATTATCCTTTTCTTGCGATCAACTGGGAACAGAGGGAAGGACTGCTGGCTTAGCAAAAGATAGACTTGAGGCAGGAAGGGCAATTAAAAAGCTGTGACAACAATATAAGCAAGAGGTAATGAAGGTCTGAACTCCTGATAAGGGATAGTAGGGACAGAAGGGAAGGCATTTATCTCTTGCTTGCTTGCTTTTAGATTTATGCCTCCAGATGATCCTTTAGGGCGCCATGGCCCAAGCCTTGAAAATTTCTTAAGAAAGAGACCCGTTGTTCCTGAGCACAAGAAACAACCATGCCCTTATGGTGAGTACCTATGTGCAGAACTGAGTTCTGTATTAAGGGAAACATAAGGACTCTATGAATACTTTTCTCTTCAAAATTTATCTTTCAAATGGAAAATCCTAGCTTGTTCACTTTCTGTGAGTTAGTCTGTGTCTTCCTGTATTCTCAGTTAATTGTTTAAAGAAACATTCTAGAAACTGCATGAGGAGAAGGTAACTAGAATTGAAGGGAAGATTAGTTGTCACTTGTTAAAATGGTGCATGTGTGCTAGCTGCCTCCATCCTGAGCAGTGTTGCTGGGGGCAGAGAAATGTCCACGTGGGTCCACAGAAGCAGAAAGGGCAAGGCCAAATTGGATTTGGCCCCAAGAAGGACGTGTCTCTCAGGCAGGTGACTGCGCCCTCTAACTAATAATACCCTTTTCTTCCCATCTGTACTTTCCAGTTTGCTTCCAAACTTCATTTTTATTTGCTTTTTTAAAATATAGTTTTCTAGAGTACATTCATGATCTTACACAAGTCTGTCTGATATAAAGTTTGTGAGCCTAACAGTGCAACGTGGGCTGCCTGGTCTGAGGCTAGTTTGGATGTTCACTCTTTTTGGATAATCATTTATCACACGTCTTGTTTTTTGTTTGATTAACATTTATTTAAATCATAGAGTGTTTTCATGTTCATTATCTTCATTTAATCTTCACAATGACCCTATAATATAAGCATGATTATGAACCTTGTTTACAGAAGAGGAAAATGAGGCTCAGAAAGTAAAGTCACTTACCAAAGTCACACAGCTAGTAAGTGGCACAGCTGGAATTGAAACTCAGGTCTGACTGGCCTCCAAGCCTGTGCTCTTTGCACTCGCATCATACTGCCTGCTGCTGCTCTACACTGCCTTAATATGCAGGTTATGCCTAGGCAAAGTTGTGAATTTCAGGAAATGAAAGCTGTTCAGCTGTTCAGCTCTTAGTTTTCACACTGCAGTTTCCTCCCCAGCTTTCCACTTCCTTCCTCTCCCCTCACAGTGTGTGATGCCTCCTTGGTGTTGTCTGTCTCTCATCTTTATGGACAGTTAATTTTCTGCCTTTAACCCCAAATGGTAAAATTATAACCTGAGTGACCAGATACAACAGTTTCTGGCACAGAGTTGCACCACTATGAGAGAGAGTCTTACCCCAAGGCATTATTTTTCAGGCAAAAAATGTACCTACGGCCACAAGTGCAAATACTACCATCCGGAGCGGGCCAACCAACCCCAGCGTTCGGTGGCTGATGAGCTCCGCATCAGTGCCAAACTGTCCACAGTGAAAACCATGAGCGAAGGCACCTTAGCCAAGTGTGGCACAGGGCTGTCTAGTGCCAAAGGTGAGATAACCTCAGAAGTCAAACGTGTGGCCCCCAAGCGCCAATCAGATCCCAGCATTCGGTCCGTGGCTGTGGAGCCTGAGGAATGGCTGTCCATTGCCCGTAAGCCTGAGGCCAGCTCTGTCCCCTCACTTGTGACCGCCCTAAGTGTCCCCACAATCCCACCCCCCAAAAGCCATGCAGTAGGTGCACTCAATACCCGTTCAGCCAGCAGCCCAGTGCCAGGATCTTCTCATTTCCCCCACCAGAAGGCTTCGTTAGAGCACATGCCCAGCATGCAGTATCCCCCCATCCTGGTTACCAACAGCCATGGGACCTCTATTAACTATGCTGAGCAATACCCAAAGTTTGAGTCCTTGGGGGACCACAGCTATTATTCAATGTTAGGCGACTTCTCCAAACTGAATATCAACAGCATGCATAATCGAGAGTACTACATGACTGAAGCAGACCGGGGGGTGTATGCCCGGAATCCCAACCTGTGTTCTGACAGTCATATGAGCCATACCAGAAATGACAACTATTCCTCTTACAACAACCTATACTTGCCTGTAGCTGATACCCATCCTGAAGGCAGTTTGAAGCTGCATCGCTCAGCATCTCAGAACCGTCTTCAGCCTTTTCCTCATGGTTACCATGAAGCCTTAACAAGAGTGCAGAGCTATGGCCCAGAGGATTCTAAGCAAGCCCCCAACAAGCAGTCAGTTCCCCATTTAGTTCTGCATGCCCAGCACCCAGCAACTGGGACACGCTCCAGCTGTCCTGGAGACTACCCCATGCCTCCCACTATCCACCCTGGGGCAACCCCACAGCCAGGACGTGCCCTGGTGATGACTCGGATGGACAGCATTTCTGACTCTCGCCTGTATGAGAGCAACCCCATGAGACAAAGACGACCTCCTCTTTGCCGGGAACAACATGCCAGCTGGGACCCACTGCCCTGTGCAACTGACTCTTATGGCTACCACTCCTATCCCTTGAGTAACAGCCTCATGCAACCATGCTATGAGCCAGTCATGGTACGGAGCATGCCTGAAAAAATGGAGCAGCTTTGGAGGAATCCTTGGGTTGGAATGTGCAATGATTCCAGGGAGCATATGATCCCAGAGCACCAGTATCAGACCTACAAGAACCTCTGCAATATTTTCCCTTCAAACATCGTCCTTGCAGTAATGGAGAAGAATCCCCATACAGCAGATGCCCAGCAACTGGCAGCCTTGATTGTTTCTAAGCTTAGGGCTGCACGTTGACGTAACATAGAACTTATTCCTATAAATATAAATATTAATACTAATAATGCACTAATACTATGATAATAGTAACTAATAATTTTGTGTCGCGCTTTACAAGCTACAGAGTATTTATGTCATTGAAGTGCATAACAACCCTGTGAGGTAAGTCTTACTAATGTCTTGTTTTATAGACAAGGAAATTGAAGCTCAGTGAAATTAAGTGACTTGCCAAGGTCACACCGCTAGCAAAGGACCAAGTCAGGACTCTTATCCAAGTCCTCTGACTCCAAGTTCCATGCCCTTTTGCACGGCACTGTGCAGGTAATGGAGGACAAAACCCAGGGGGAGAGGCCTAAATGCAAGAAACCCCAGGGCTTCCATTACCAGTGTTTTCTTAGTCACACATTCTATATTACAGAGTAAGAATGATACATCTAATTTAGAGAGCAAGAGCATCAAGATCAGATCATATGTTGAATTAACCTTTTAAGATTTTTAATAGGAATATTTAAAGCTATTTAAAAGTAAATGCACACTTTATTGCATGGATATCTGACCATTCAATATCTTTGTTAACCAAGCTATAGGGTCATATCGAAGCTTCTAGAGCTACATTTTAAACCTATTATTAGCAGTTATATTGCATGTATGACTGTATGTATTTAGTCAAGATGTGTATCTCTGTATAATCTTTTATATGGTGGTGATAAGAAGATAGTCTCAGCACAGTCCTTAGTCTACAGCTGTATAGATCACAAATCTGACTGGATGATTTATGTCACATTTCATAATTTCAACTAGTTTTGAAAGTGAAATTACATGCCAATATTTGAATATTGCTTTCTTAGTCACCACAGCAAGCTAGCTCTATGTCCCTTGCACTTTTTACTTGTCAAGATTTATTGACAGATTTTCACTCTCTTCACCTCAGCAAGTTAGGGATAAGATTGCAGCCTTCTTCCACAGAGAAGCTGATGGATAAGCTCAAGTTCCAGGCATAGTAGCTGTGTGCTAGATTAGCGCAGAAGTATTTGACCAGGACCAGGGGATTTACTACCACAGTTGGTTTCCCTTATCCCAATAGCGATGGCCAAACTCATGAAGCATTAAATGATGAACACAAAAGCTGCACTCAAGGAGGGTCTAATGGATGCTCTTTGGACTTCTGACCTACGCAGTATTCAACATCACAGGATGAAACGTAATGCAGGACAGGGCATAGCCATGCAATCCACTTTGTCTTGCAATCCACCCTTTGGGCAATAAGGTCGATCATTGGTGCAGCAGAATATTTTTAGGAAACAAAACCAGGGGATTTTCTATGTGGAAAAAGGCATCCTCCAAAAGGGGATGCAGCTTCCAAAAGGGGATGTTACATCTTCGCTAATAGCTGGCTTAGTTATGCACTTCAAATCCATGCGAAGAGGGTGCACTTGCCCTTGGATAACGCATTACTAAAGATGGCAGGACTTTGGGTTGAGCAGAGCCATTTGTTCAACTTGTATCTTGCTCAGGGTGGGAACCTTTGTAGCTAGATGCCTCCAGAAGAGGCATTTATTGTTTTTGGTTCTTTTTAAGCTGCACTAAATAAACCCCCTTTTTGAGCCCATTGTATATTTCAACATTTTGAACCATGACCAGCTCACTATTTCTTGAGCTGGAACTTGCTAATTTCTATGGTAGTTTTTCATGAAAGTTGAGAAGGCCTGGTCTTGGCCTTTTGTTTCTTCATAAGAAGGTGTGACACTACCTATAAATGTTTCTTACTGTGAAACACTCCCAATGCGAGGCTGTAGTCAGGGTTGTTTCTGGCAGTTTGATAATGGCTTGCATGCTGCTTTTCTGGCTTTCTGTCTCTGTCTTAGTTGATAAAAACTGCATCTCAATTAATGTTTTTCTCTAGTTAACCATAGCTTCACATTTATCTCCTACCCTATGATTTTTCCATCCCGCAACATACTGAGGTGTAAAAGTATTTTCTACCAGTGACCATAGAGAGTGACAGTTGCCACTGAAGTGCTTGCCATTTCACACAAATGCCATTTCATACCTTCAACTTCTTGGATCTTCTAAATTTGTCCCATGTCTAAATCAGGGTATTTGACAATCTTAGATGACTCTGCCTTTGTGCCAGTTAGTTCATACCTCCTATCAAAGTCATCAATGGCACCACAGTATCCAGTAGCTGTACAATTTACAGAGAAGCACAAGATTAATCTTGTCAACTGCAATTCATCTTGAACATGTTCATGTTTAGTATTAAAAAAATTCTAAGTTCCTCTCAATACAGGAAATAATTTTTAAGGCAGTGTATGTATTTCTTATTTCCTGTAACCATTGTCATTCCTCTCTTCTCATAAAATGTATATGAAACAAAGCAGCTAGGAGCAATGCCTCAAATAACCAGAAATGACCTTTTGTTGATACAAATTGTATCTCCTTTTTTCCCGATTGTATAGAAACAAATGTACAAAACTCATCTGAAACTAGGTTTGGTACATTCTTTTCACCATGATGTTTGTGGCACTGTGTGTCACAAGGAAGTAGCCCGGGGGTCATGAAGGAGCTTTTATTTCCAAAGGACAGTAGTAGTTTATAGACAATTTTTCAAGGCCTTTTTATTACTATGTGCACAGCTATTATGTGTACAGTTTCAAGCATTATATTACATAAGTTCTCTTTAGCCTATTAAATTTAATATGTCCTTGCAAAAGGTATTTTGTGTAAAAAGTGTCAATGTTAGTGAATCATCTGCAAGAATCTACAAATGGAGCTGTACAATTATGAATGCTTAAATCCAGCTTGGTTCTTAGTAAAGTTATTAGAGAAACATCTTCTTTATATTGAGGTCTGCACATTTTTTGACTTTTCCATTTTGTCTGTAATTATAAAACAGCAAATACAAAGAAGCATTGGGACTCACTGGGCTCCCTTGATAATAAAAGCAAGCTTCCTTTCCTGGGGTTAAGGGTGTGTCCTTCAGTATGCTTACCTCCAAGCACTCAGCAGGGATTACTGCACAGTGTTTTGTGTGGTTTTCAAGAAGCATTATCTTTTATAGGAGATGCTTTGTAATTTTTATTCTTTCACTGAGTTTTTGAACTCATAGCAAGTCTATGCCTTTTCAGGCCTTAGATTTTATGATTTCTTTCTTGTTGTGATTTTGTTATTGTTTTTACTTTGACCTAAAGAAGTGTGACTCTGGAGTGGCATGGTCAATCAAGGGCACTGTTTCTGTAAGACAGCTAAAAGGAAAAGGAGACTTTTCAAAGGTAACATACAGCCATTGCACTCTCTCTTAAGGTGCAAGGTATAGAAGGGAGAATGACGGAGGCCTTATGGAAATGGCCTATAAAACTTTTCTTCTTCTAAATAATGAAACACATGCACACACACACACACACACACGTATGTGTGTGTGTATATATATACGTTGAATATGTGTATATTCTCTCCCCTCCCCTCTCTGGTAGTTTCCAGGAGAATACTTCTAAAACCCATTTTTTCTACTTTAGAATAAATTATATTTATACAGTAATTCAAACATTGATATCCATTAACCTTTGGCACTGAGTTTTCTTCTAACATAGAAGAGTTCATTTGAAGAGGCACTCAGTGACAGTTTAATCTCTGCTCTAAGTATGAGACTTTGTACAAACACCCTTTTTGTGGGCCAAGAATTTCAATACACTTTGTTTTATTCTGCGAACCAGGTCTGGAGCTACACAGGGAAAGTAATGTCAAACTGTGCAAAGAGCACTTCTCCGGTCTCCTCCTAACCCTTCTCTGCCTTCCCCTAGTTTGCTTCTCTTTATGTCTGACACTGAGGAGTGCATAGTCTTCAACTGAAATGGCACTACAGTTAGTTTTCAATGGAAACCAAACCAGTATATTTCAGGAAGCTGCTTGTCTAAAGTTGTCGATGCTTTTGGAAAGACTCAGCATATTCAATATCTATCATGTTGTAGCTAGCTATATACATAGGCAGATTGACTATTTTTAATCCTGTTTTGTGTATCATTGAGCTATAGTAGTTTGCTTTATCCATTTGTGGGATTAAACAATATTGTTTAATGGTTGTAAACTTTTATAAAACCTCTTTGGGTTTTTTGTTTGACCCAAATATAATGTAAGTCTCAATGACAAAATACACAAAGCCAAACAGAGGTAAGTGAAAATATATCCTGTCCCCAGTTTTGTCTGGCCCTATAATGCACGTGCAGTGCTTTGCAATATGTTTTCACTAGCATGAATGTGCTATGACTACTTCATGAGGTTTTAATTTGTTTTACCTATAATCATGATGCTGTATCATCGGCAACAATGAACTGTAACTAAATTTATTTATTGTATAAACTATTTGTCTACTAACCACTAATGGCTCTGTTTCTTTAAGAACATCAACAACCAAAGCCATACCACATCTACATATATACACACCCTACTTCGCTCCTAAAAGATTCAACTACCTTCCTTGGGACTTGCATCTTGAGATAAGCTATAAAGGGAGCGATCTCTCCAAATGAGTTCATCTGAATTTTATCACAGTAAGCATATGCCTTCTTATTTTTGTATATAGTCATACGTCACTTAACAATAGGGATACATTCTGAGAAATGTCTTGTTAGGTGATTTTGTCATTGTGCAAACATCAAAGAGTGCACTTACACAAACCTAGATGGTATAGCCTACTATACACCTAGGCTATATGGTATTAATCTTATGGGACCACTGTTGCATATGTGGTCTGTCGTTGACCAAAACGTCATTAGGCGACACATAACTGTACTAACACAGCTCTAAATACTAGTCAACTGCTGTTTCTCACAGGGCTGGGCTTGGCTGGGCCTCTACTGGTGGTTCAGAACCAAGTGGAGGGTTCAGGGCCCAGGCTTCTTTGTGTAAACAATCTATAATTTCTCCCCTGAATAGCTTCAGGGCCACAGAGACATCATCTGCTGGGCCTTAGCCAGAATATCAGAACTAGAAGTGGCCTGGCACCCTACACTTCACAGAGAAGTCACTTAGGAAATGCTCAGCTGCATCAACTCCATCAGGTTTTAGGTGTGGGAACTGAGGCTCCAAGAACTGAAGAGATTTGACCAAGGCTGAACAGGGAGTCCCCGAGACTGGAATCCCAGGCCTCATTGCTCCCAGACCACTGTGAGCCCTTTATCACAGTGGTGTCTGCTCTTCCCTCAGGCCTCTCTGGGACCTCCTACTCACCCCCCACCCCCCCCCACCCCCCGCTCCACAAGCCAGTCTCATATAAAGGCTGAGACAGCCACAATGGCCACAGGAGAGCCCAGCCTAGGAGCCTTTGGAAGGGGCTATTTGGAAGGTGCTACTCTGAAAATATCTTTTTTTCTTTTATCATCCTTCTTGGAACTAAGAGTGCTCATCTCTCCCCACCCTTTTCTTCTTCTGTCTCTTTACTCTTCCTGCCTCCCACATTTCTCAGGCATATATGTATCAAGTTCTTTGTTGTTGTTGTTAGTGTCCTCAAGTCAATTCCAACACCTGGAGACCCTGTATACAGCAGAGCAGAACCCTGCCTGGTACTTTTGTGCCATTCTCTCCCCTTCTGGCACTATATCAGACAGTGCTCTGCTGCTATTCAGAGTTTTCATGGCCAATTTTTTCATAAGTGGGTGGCCAGGTCTTCCTAGTCTGTCTTAATCTGGAAGCTCCACTAAAACCTGTCCACCATGGGTCTCCCTGCCGGCATTTGAAGTATCAGTGATATAGCTTTCAGCATCACAGCAACACACACCCACCACAGTATGACAATCAACAGACAGGTGGTGTGGCTCCCTGATTGGTAAACGGACCTGGGCCATGGTGGTGAGAGCACCAAATCTTAACCACTAGATCACCAGGGCTGGCATCAAGTTCTTACTGAGTACCAACTAGGGGCCTGGCCTGTATTTGGCTAGCGAGGGACAGAAAAGGAGGAAAGAGTTTCTGTCTTCTGGAACTTGCACTCTAGTGAGGAAATAAAGCACACTTAAATAAATTAAGACTTCGTTGGAGGAGAGTGGCAGCATGAGGTTAGGGGGAGTGATAGGAATAGTTAGAATTCCAAGAGGGGATAATTGAATGTCCAATGCTTCTCCCTAATGATAGGTGGAAAATCAGCTAGTCTGACCATATCCCTCTTTAGCTTACCTCTCTGGCCTCAGGACCTACCATGTTCTTCACACAACCCAAGTTCCAATTATCCTGGACACTTCACTGGTGCCCCAACATGCCATACTCTTTTTTATCCCCTCCAGACTTTTACCTTCCTTCTTCTCCTTGTTCTGACTAGTAAACTCTTGCCTTTAGAGATCACTGCTGCATTAAGCAGTCCCACCTGCTTGTCCAGACATTATTAGTCCTTGCCCCTAGGGAGTCTTCCAGGTATCTTGAACAATACCTCTGTCTTAGCACTTGTCACTCTGTTATAATTATGTTTGCATGCAGACTCCCGTACAAAACAGGGAGTTCCATAGGGACAGAAATCATGTTCTTCATCACCAATGAATTATCTCCTATCAGAAAGAGTGACTTTTAATTACTGTTCTTGAATAACCGTATAATCTATGCTCCCTTCCCTTGACCCTCAATCCTGTCCCCCAGTTAAATGCGTGCAGTTCCAAGACTTTTTCTAATCAGTCTCTGATCTCTAGTCAGAAGGAAAAGGCCCAAGGGCACTGGGCTAAGGTTGCTTCCTGGCCGATCCTCCCCCACCTGCCTCCCTCACCCCCCAACCACCACGCTTGCTCCCACCATTTGAAGCAGCCCTTCCCAGGGACCTGGCCTCATAAATCCCAGGTTTCAAGAGGACTCCAGCCAACAAGGACCCTTGGCTCTTACTCTCCTTGGACCTGGACTAGAAATGAGCTCAGCCTGCTCATCATTAGGTCAGTCTTTGAGGGCCAAGGGAAAGCACTTTGTCCTAGGATACGTGGAGACCAGAGTCCTGAGTTCAAGGCCCACCAACCCTAGCATGAATCCATACCACTCACACATACAAAGCGTGATAAGTTTTAGAGAGCACTTTTCACATCTATTATCTTTTTTGATCCTTATAACAAGCCTGCCAGGCAAATATTATCCCCCTTCTGTAAATTAAGAAACTGTAGCATGATTTGACCAAGGTTGCTCCCATTAAATGAGGGAACTTGTCTGGAACCTACGTCTTTGGGTAGTTTTTTCTCCATACCAGTGCATCTTAAACTTTAGTGTGCATCAGAATCACCTGAAGAGCTTGTAAAATCAGATTGCTGCCCACCTTCAACCTTTCTAATTAAGGCCTGGATTCAATAAGTTGCATTTCTAACAAGTACCCAGGTGATACTGATGTTGCAAGAAATGTGGATCTACACCAAACTATTAACTTGTTCTGTGCCTTTGGGCAAATCCCTCCCCTTTTTGTCTGCCTTAGTGTCTCAAGGCATAAAATGAGGGGGCTAGACTAGAACTTTGATTTCCAAGCTTTTTTAGCAGCAAAACCCATTTTGAAAAAAAAAAATCTACATAGGATATGAATACATACACAATAAATAAAATCCAGGCTGTTCTAAAGAGGTGGTGGAGAACCAAGAGCTTGCAGCACCCATCTCCCCACAGAGCAGGTGCTGAGCTACATCCTAGAGTACATGTTTGCAAATCCCTTGACTAGATGTGGCCCCTAGATGCTCTTTGAGGGCTCATTCAGCCCTGATATTCCAGGATGCTAAAAAAGTTAGCATATGCTATTGTGGCAGGAGGGAAGAATTGGAGGGAAATTGATTTTGCATTAACCCATGTAGGAGACTGCTCTGCCCACGCCTAATGCTTGGGTCCACACAGGGGAGGAAATCTTAACCCTGTTGGCCTACTGGGCTTATGGATCCCTTTGGTAATCTGATTAGATCTGTGGATTAGCTCTAGAAAAATGATTATATACTCATACCCACAAAGATATTCAGGATATCCTTTATGAGGTGTTGGGGACTCCGTAGGGGTCGCAACTTGTTAAAACTTTTGGGCTCTGGCATAACATTTCCACTAAATTCCTCCTTGGCACTTTCATAGCATAAGCCCTCGCTTTTCTTTCATTCCTTGGCTCTGCCACTTCTTGGGCCAGTTTTGTGGCTGTAATGATGCCTGGTTCTGTCTCTTGCTTCCCCTTGTCTGGCCCCAAATGTGGCCCCACAGAGATGCCCACTCACCCAGCTATCCCTCTTGCCAGAGTGGGGATGGGGAATACTGTAGCTAGACTTGACCTCAGTCAAACACCACCCTGGAAATATCTCTGACAAAAACAGAACTTGTGGTACACCAGAGCTCCCTTAAGGCACTTAGCAGAGGCATCAGGTTATCACAATTGATGACTTTGTCCTCTCTCCCCAGGCAGAGGGCTCTGGGGGTAAGAACATGGTTTATTCATCCCTGTCTCTTGGCAGCTCAGGGCTGATACAGGGTAGGCACTCGGAGTGTCTGAGAGAATTGGATGACCATAGAAGAGCTCTGGGTCAGTCCCTAAGACATTTCTCTGGCTCCAATGTCCACCACAGGGAAGTCTGTATCTTTTCTAGGGCAAAGGAGTGGATAAGTGACAAAGAAAGGTTTCTCTCTCTCTGGCTTTCAACTACTGTTCGGTGTCCAGCAAGGGAAGGCAGGAAATGAGCCAGAAGCCTGCTGGGTAGCATCAGGAAGGCCTGCGTCTTCCTGCTGTCAGGGAGGTTCTGAGCAGATTCCTCTGATGCTGTTGGGCTCTATGGCCACCAACACCTATCTTTTGGGGCCTGATGCTTCAGAGTGACCCAGCCCCATACTATAGCTCAGGGGAGGGAAAATAGAATGAATCGAAGAAGGTATGAGTGGGGTCTGGTGGTGGAAACAATCAGGGGCAGTGGGCCCAAGGGGCCTCAGGACCCAGCTCCTACTCAAAGCCCTGTTATGATCCTACCTTCTGTGGAACCCCCAGAATAAAGGGAGAACTACACTGGTCTGCCCCAGCACACACACCCTCATCTCATAAACACTAAAACAACAGTTTCCTGTTTATTGTTTTATAAAACAAAACAAAACAAAACAAAACAAAATCTAAAACATTAAAAATTCCTCTGTGGTAGAAAGCTGAGTTGATGCAGGCTGTCTCCCAGGTTGTTTCATTGAGCATCGGGGGTGGGAGGTTTAGGGGGAAGGCTGTTGCCCCAGCAGGGCTGGATGAACACTTGCACCAAGGTGGGCATCAGAAGAGCTGCAGGCCAGTTTTGAGCCCATGCAGCTGGCCCTGGCTCCAGAGAAGGCCCTCCAAGTTGCTGCTGCCGTTGCTGCAGTTGCCACTGCCAATGCCACAGCTCAGGCCCAGGGTGCTGTGGAGAGAGGGGGTGCGGTCAGTCAGGGAAGGAGGCAGCTCTAGGCTCTGGAAGGGCTAAGCGTGCTTGATGTGTGTGTGTCTAGGGGAAGGGCCCACCCTCCTGCCTGGCTTTACAAAGAAAAAACTGGAGCAAATCTGAGAAACTACTTCAGATGGGCCGCAGGGGTGGCTCTGCCCTCCCCTCAGTTGAGGGAGGCAGGGAAGGAGCAGAACTTTTTAAATGAGACTCTATGCAGAGTCCTAGTATATAAACCAGATTAAAGCATAGCTATTTGGCTTGAGGTAGAAGAGGGGAACACACACCACCCCACCTCCAGGAAGATATTAAAAGTGGCTGCCTTAACAGGCCTTCTTCCAAGGCCCTAGAGCTTCGGCGCCCAGAGGATGCTGGGCTAGATCCCTCCCACTCCCAACAGCTGGTTAGGGAGCACAAAGCAAGGCTTGCACTGCAGGGCTAGGCCGAGCTCCTATCCTCCCCATCCCTGACCCTGCTCTGAACGCTCTTGCTTCCCCTGCTTCCTGCAGGTCAAAGGTCCTTCCAGGTAGATGAGGGTGACAGCTGAGAGCAAAGTCATCATCCTTCCCCTCAGGCAGATCCATGGTTACACTACTGCAGCTGAAAAAACCCTTAGAGATGATCTAGTCCTGGAACTGAGGCCCAGAGATGAAAAGGGACTTGCTCAAGGCCACATAGACACGTCAGGAGTGGAGCTGAGACAAGGAACAGGGGTAGGCAGGACCGCTCCAGCAGAGGAAGCCTCCTCACTACATGGGTGTGAGAGCTGGGCCGAATCAGCATCCTTCTGGATTTAACATCTCCACCTGCCCACACTTCACCCTTGATACCCTGGTGCTCATCAAGCCAGTCTCACCCAAGGGAAGAGGTGGTCTCTTTCTCTCTCAGACTGTGGGCCCCACTCCCAGCTACAGAACACCTGGCTTCCCCAGCTGCCTCCTCTCCTCTCCAAGAGGCCTGCTGCTCCCTAGCCTAGGACAGAGTTCATGGCACTGCCTTGGGCCTGGTCTGCTTCTGGGGCCCCTGGGTTCTACTAGCCCTCTCCCCAAATGTCCAGAGGAAGAGGGGCTCATCTCCCAGGGAGTGGGCAGGAAGCAGAGGGATAGACTCTCAGTTTCAGGGGCCCACAGAGGTCTCTCTCTGGTACTCACAGGATTCTCCTGGTCACAATGGCCCCGCATTCCGGAATGTACACGCCCTCTGGACGGGCTCCTTTGTGTTACCAGCAGAGCCCCTCAGCAAGGGCTGCTTGGTTCCTGGCTCCCTGATGACCCAAGGGCTCCCACGCCTGTGATCCAGAGGCGAGTTTCGAGGGAGAGCATGGAGCCCTGCGCAGGCCTTGCTACCAAGATGCCTGGATAGTGCGGGGAGGCCTACTGATTACTCTGTGCACCTTTGGACAAATCCCTTCCCCTTTCTGGGCCTCAGTTTTCTCCTCAGGAACATGAAGAAGTTGGATTAGAGCATCTGTTCTTGACCTTTTGGGAATGGTGGACCCTTTAGTGAAACTGTTGGCGGCTGTGGACCTCTCTCTTCCCAAAATGTGCACACACACACATACACACACACACACACACACAAACTGGATGCAATCTGAGAGGGGTGCCAAGCCAGTTCTGCATGGCTGCCTCATTGGCTCCCCCCACTAGGGGCTGGGAGTTCTGCCAAGGGTTCAGCCAGGGACTGGAATTTATATGTCCCTCATTTAGGCCCTGACTGGGGACAGCTATCTCCCCCACCCACCCCACTTTGTGTCCTTCTCTCCCTCCCTTCCCCCCTCCATCCTACGCTCCCTCCTTCCCCACTGCAGGAGGCAGAGAAAGGGGTAAGAAATCCTGCTGCCATGGGTACTCACCCAGTCTTGCATGTTGGGGGTTCCAGCCGCTGCTCTAGCACAGGCTGGTCCAAAAGATACATGGTGTCATAATTCTCCAGCATAAGCTCTGCTGGGTCCTCGGTCTGACCTGGCATTCGGCCTAAGGGGAAGATGTCCCATCGCACATCTTCTGTGGAGCAAAGGGAGGAGGCAAGAGCATTAGTTCTCGGACTGATGCACAGGCCCAACTACCCTGTCCACCCACCCACCTCAATTAGCCTGCTTAGCATGGGATCTCTGTGTATCTCCAGCCTCACTCCTCTCTGCATCACTTCTCATGAGCTCCTCTCCACCTTAGTGCTCCCCACCCCTTCCATACTTCCCCATATACTTTTTATGGACCTTCTTTCCCTCTATGTGTTCACAAACACACTCCACCACAACCACCCCACACACCACATACCATGCACACATCTACAGACATTTTTGTTCCTCTCTGCTTTTCTCCCACTTCCCCAGACATGTCCTCACAGATACAGAGGACAACATCTTTTTTGTACCTGGCTGTATCACTCCCTCAACCTCTCACCCTCACCCCTATTTCCACACACACATATATGGAAAAGTCTAGATGCCCCAGAATTCCCATTGCACCTCCTCCCCAAACCCACAGATAACTGAGTATCTGAATGATCTAGATTTCCTACACATCTACACACAGACACCCCCAACGTTCTTGAATGTCACATCATTTCTTAGTGGCTTTGCCTTGAGAGATATACACACCCACACACTACTTCAGGGTAGACTCTTTTTCAGAGGTATTATGCTCCCCCTGCCCTCTGCAAGGTCTTATTGCCCTCTGATGCATACACAAAGAACATCCCTTCTGTGGGGAAGGGCTGTCTCACTGTATATCCCACCCCCTACCGCTGCCTAAGTATACAGACATAAGCACACAGACCAAGCCCTCCATTTAACAAATGTTCCCAGTTTCACTCCCTGTCTCCCACATCTCTCATTCACAGGCACACAAACCAGAAGTCTTACCATCCCTGCATCCCCACATATGTGTATGCACACACAAAGGAAGCAATGGTAAGGGAGCAAGGGAAAGATTTTAATGCCCTAGCCTTTCCACATTCACAAACCACTCCCCAGCCCCTCTCCCCACAGAGATACCCCAGTCTAGAACGGACCATGTCAGGCACTACCCACCAGCTCTGTTCTATCAGTTAAACACCCTCCACACAGTTTATATTAAATCCCCATCCCCATTCTTACACCAATGTATCCAATGTTTTCCAGTGAAGACTTAACTGGTGAGCTCCTCCAAACAGATTCAGTTTCTGGCCTCCCACATCTCCCTGGTACCCAAAGAATTCTCCCTGTCATAATGTCCTTGGCTTTCTGGAAGGTATCAATCCTGGACTAGCTTTTTATGTAAGCCATAGAACCCCCTTCAGGAGGGTCTTTTCCTCTGCCTGCCCATCGCCCGACCCCTGGCTCTTTTATAAGGAAGTTGTGTCTGTCTTAATGCCCTGCATTGCCCTATGCATACAAAAGTACCTTCATACACAGGGACCCCCCGCAATGTCTGTCACTGACCTCTCTCCCCATCACTAATTTCCCCAAACCTGCCTACATAACTGCCCCTACCTCTCTAGCCTGCACCCTTGTACATGTCCCCTCAGTGACAGCATGGACACACAGAGCCCATCTCTGAATAACTGTCTCACTGTCTATTCTCACGCCCTTGCACATACCCCCACCTCTCACTGCTGCCAGTCCTCTCCCTCATTCAGATACCTCCTGTCCCCCATGGTCTCAGCAACCCTGTCTCCTCTTCCAAAAACATGCATGACCATGTGTGCATGTACGCACAGATGCACATATAGCCTTCTTCACAATGACTTCTCTTTTCACAGCCCCTATTCTCTCTCTCTCTCTCTCACACACACACACACACACACACACAATTTTGCCCATGTCAATGCCCCCCCTTTCAATATTTACAAAGATCTCCAAACAGCCCTCTTAGCCCTAAGAGATTTCTCTGTCACTGTGCCTTGGTTTGTCCATCACGTGTAGGCACACACCCATTCACACACACACAGACATCAACATGTTCTCCCACTCCTAGCACTCACCCACCACATAAAAGCACAGGGCCTTTATGACCAAGCCCTTCCACACACATGTCCACACAAGGGCAAAGGCTCCACCTTTCCCCCTGAGTTCCTTCACTGCCTTCCCTCTCACTCGCTATTGTTCCTCACCATGCCCACAATACACCACACCCAGTCTTAGTTCTTTGCCCTCTGTCCCTCAGGCTCCATCACACAGGCTGTGCCCCCACGTCCACCCCTACCTTCAGTGTGCAGGCATACACACATGCCCCCTCGACACACACCAGACTGCTCATTCCTTCAGAGTCTCCCTGCCTTAAGCTTCCTGCCCCCTAACCTAAATGAGGGCAATCAAAAGACCACCCTCAGCAGGAACAGATTCATGTGTCTCCCACTTTCCTATTGCCCGACCCTCCTTGCCCCGTCTTGGCTTTGTCTCACTAACTTGTATGATCATCTAAAAACCTCACCACTCCTTATTCTCACTCTTCTGATCTTACTTCCACTTTCTCTGACTTAATGCCCCTGGGTTCCTTCTTTTTCACACACACAGCCTCCATGGGTACATATACATTCACATAATCGCAGAAAGCGCTCTTATTTTGTCTCCCTGACCCTAGATCACTGCATGCAAAAAACACATGCAGAATCATACACATATCAACCCCCTACCTCTCACTTTCTCTTCTGTGTTTTGCTGCTCAGTGCTCACACCCATACTATCCCTCTAAATGTGTTCTCTGAATGAAGCAGCGGGTAGCATGACAGTGCTTAGGCCCCTAGCACTTACACACTTCATCCTAAGAGGGAGGGAAGCCAGCTGTCATCCACATACCAGGCTGCCTCCCAGGCTTGCCTCACACTGGCTATCACCTGCTACTTTCCATCTCTTCTCTAGCGTAGAGGGAAGCCTCAAGAGCTAGCCAGAGAGGGAAGATTGGTATGGAGAGAAAATGGGTATCAGGCTTCTTACCTGAGCTAACTTGCCATGCAGAGCCCTGCAAAGCTCCTCTTTTCTGGGCCAGGAGCCTAGCATTCTCAGCAGTGGGGGACTCCTCCCCCATAGAGAAAGGCCCCACCTCCATTCTGTCTTCCTCATCGTCTATGTCATCATCATCGTCATCGTCGTCATCGTCATCATCATCTTCTTCTTCTTCTTCTTCATCCTCCGTCTCCTCCTTCCACTTCTCTTGGTCATCATTTTCCTCTTCCTCCTCCTCCACCTGGTCTTCCAAGACCTCTTTCTCCTTCTCCTCAGCTTTCTTAACATCATTAAGGCTGCCCTGCTCCTCCTGCTGCTGGGCTTCACCTTCAGGCCCAGAGCTGGCACCATCTGGTTTGAGGCTCCAATACAGGTTGTCCAGTGTGTATGGAGACTTCCCAATCGGGGAGGCCTCTGAGCCCTCCTGCACCAGGCTGTTTTCTCCACTCTGGTTATAAATGGAACAGATACGCAGCAGCTTCTCCTGCTCCCCATCTGGCAAGACCTGCCCCATGGCTTTGAAGACGCTGAGCAAAGGGAGGGATGGGGTAAGAAAGATTTAAAATCTCAAGTCACTTCATACCCCAACACTCCACAGTTTGAACTTGGTCTCTGAGCCTCCAGACTTGCCTCTGAAAGGCAGTGAGTAGAGCAGACAGAACACAGAAACAACAGGCCCATGGACCCTAAACAAGCTCTGTGATTCATCTCTGTGGCTCACTTCCATTCTCAGTAAAATGAGGACAATAATGGCACCGGACTTAGAGGGTTGTTGAGAGTAGTAAATAAGATAGCTCACATACAATGCCTGGCACACAGTGGGCATGCAATAAATGATAGCTATTAGTCTGTAATGAAATACTATGTAAATGTACAAACTAGCCAATAGGCCTACAGGGCTTGACATGAGAATAGCAGATCCCTCTCTTCCTCTGGCCTAGCTGAACAACTTGTCCTGAGCTCTAAAGACATGCCTGGAAGTGTGCTGGGCTCCTTCTGCGTGGAACACAGTCTGATCCCTTTCCAGGAGCAACTACAGCTCAGACTGGGATGGAGGAAAAGGGAAAAAACAAAAAGCAGCAAGTGACAAGACAAAGCAGGATGTGGGAAGGAGGCCAGATGAGCACTGCAGACCTCAGGCAGTACAGGAGCTGGGGGGAGGCAGAGAGCAAAGGAGGGCAGGAGAGATCAAGAGAGGGCTTTGTGCAGAGACAAGAGTGAGCACACCGTGCTGTGTGCACATGGTGGGAGTAGCCTGGCTCAAAGGGAAGTGTTGCACTGAGGAGCTGTGGGAGGAAGCAAAAGCTGCAAAGGTTAAGTGTGTGTCGGGCAGAGGGGGTCACTTGACAACTCTGAGCGCAGGTGAAGGCTGCGTTTCTGAAGATCACCATGGTGTCCGTGTGGAGGGTGGCCATGTGGAGGATGGCCTGGATGGGGCAGCCTGGAGGTAGGGAGACCAGGAAGAGTTGGTCAGGGCTGACCTAGGGCAGTGGCAGTGGAGGTGGGTGGGAGGGAAGCTGTGAAGGACAGACAGACAAAGAACAGGGCTTGGTGGCCAGATGACAGGGGTTAGGCAGAGGAGAGTTAAAGGTGATGACATGGTGCACACAAAGGACGGTGCTAACAGCAAAACCACCAAGAGATACAGAGCCGTTGGGAAGGAGAGCTCCTGGGGAGGCAGAGGGTGAGCACCCCTCGCAGAGCCTCACGTAGAACCAGGCACCTAGCAGGCACCTGGTCACTGTGGGAGTCATGGGTGGGGTGGACAGATGGATGGTTTCCTTCTAGGTGTATTGAGTTTGAACTGTGGGCCGCTCATGGAGGGGCCATATGCTCAGTGGGCTGTTTTCTTTCTGGGCCCTGCAGGCAGACTGGCCACATCTGTGTGGTCTCTGGTCATTGGTTGCTGGTTACTGGGGTCCGGGCTGGGAGACCCTTTCTGTAGGGCTTTCATATTCCAAGAGGACACTGGCTCAAATTGAATTGATACTGGCTGGATGGGGGAAACTCTTGAAAAGCTTTCAGCCTTATTGGAGGAAAAGCCAGAGAGGAAACTCTCTTCTCTCCCACTGTGGCCCATTAGTATGATTAATAATAAATATTCCCAGGCAGTTGATACTGGCAAGACGCCGTATCACTGCTGTTTGTTATTACGCACCCGCTATTTCAAGCTGTCTAGTCTGACCACTGAGACGCAGGGGTGATACGAATCTTAAAAGGCATCTCCTTCCTCAGGTTTGTCTGGTTACAGCTGGGGACTGAGAAGCTCACAGGTCAGGTTGGTGGAAAGAAGGTGGACTTTGGACTCACAAGACCTGGGCCCGAATCCCTGTCCCACCATCAACAAACCATGTGACTTTTGCATAAGTCACTTCATTCCTCAGAGCCTCAGTGTCTCTCATCTCTCAAATAAGGATTTAATATTCTACTTTCAAAGACTGCTGTGTCAAATGAAATGAAATAACTTCTACAAAAAACACAGCACCATGCTTCACACTTAATTTCTAGTTGTATCTTTTATTTTTCCTCTGGGGAAAATGAAAACCAAGTTCTGTGTGTGCCTGATAACACATGCTTTTTGCAAGGGTGCAATCTAATGGAGTACTGTGGCAAGAGCACAGGAGTAAGGACAGGATATCCGGATTCTGGCCCCAGCTCTGTGCTCTGACTTGCAGACTTGCAGTATAACACCTAGGGAAATCCTATTTCCCAGTCTCTGTAATGGGATGATTAGAAGTAGAGTCACTGATTATCTGATAAAGGCAGGATCTGTTCACAAGGAATCGTACCCATGTGAGCCGCTGTTACTGCTGGCATGTGTCGCATCCCTCTGGTATGCTTGGGTTGGGAGAACATCTCTGTGGTCCAGGCTTCTCCAAGACCAGCAGCTTCCACTCTGCAGGCACTTAGGATTGGAAAGTACCTTGAAGGCCACCTATCCAAACCTCTCCATGCTGCTCTTTTCACTCCCTCCCCCCATTACATACACATGCCATGTTCCTTCTGGACTTCGAAACTTCCTCTATTCTTTCTCCTGCTCGGTTGCTTAAATGTCTGTGATGCTTTCCTGACCTCTCCAGGCCTTTTTGGTTCTCCTCCCAATTTCCCACCCATCCATATCATTTCTAGTCTAGAGCACACAAATCTGGAGATTTGTCTGTTTGGTTCAGTCTCATCTCCTGGAGGTCTTGCCCTGACTGACTCTGTCTGCAGGCTACCCTTTTCTTTTATAAGCTACTTAAAAGCCACTACGGTGCCCCAAAGGTTTCAACCCGATCAGGGTTCAAGAAAGACTTTCTGACTTTATGAGGGGCATCAGGGGACTAAGAGGGTACTGGCATCCAGACTCCTATTTCATTTATTGCCCAGGCACAGAGTCAGTTCCCACCTAAGACAGAACTGCTGTCAATGAGACAGCAGAGCATAGTTTAGTTCAATATTTCCTGAGGCCCATTTGGGACCTGGGCTTATGTGGTGTGCTGCAGCAGAGGGCTAACGCAGAGCCCTTGTGCTTGAAAAGCTTAGTCTAATAGAGAGAAGGAGACACTAGGGGAAGTAGACACAGAAACACAAAATCTCCGATTTGGGAAGTACTTGAGAGAGTCAACATGACAGGATAGATGGTGCTGCCACCAAGTGAGATAGGGAGCAGAGGAGGAAGATCACCTCGGGGTTGGGGTGGGGAGTAAGATGACCAATTCCCTTTTGATCACAGTAAGGTGCCTATGGGCCTTCCAAGGGGAGATGTCTGATATGCAGTCCAACATAGGAGCTGAATCTTGGAGATGCCTGAGCTAGATAAGATTTAAGCCTTGGCACTTAACAGGAACTAATAAAAAAGCACAGGCATTTCAAGGAGGGAGTGGTAAACAGCGTCAATGCAGCAGACACAACGATGGACAAGGATCCACTCGATTTGGTAATCAGGAGGTCAAAGCAGCTCTAGGGGTGAATGCCAAATTGCAGCAAGTTGAGGAAGCAAGAGGGTAGTGAGAAAATCAAGATTGTTGAGTGTAGACTACTCTTTTCAGATCTTTTGATGGGAGAGGAAGGAGTGATAAGCTCATGATAACCCCACAGAGGGATGCTAGGTCAAAGGAGATTTTGCTTGTGTTGTTGTTATTGTTGCTTAGTTTTAAGATGAGAAAAACTCAGACATGTTCATAGGTTGAGGAGCAAAAGCCAGCAGAGCAAGGGAAGGGATGGGATGAGGCCCAGTGATGCTGGTGGAGGTGGCTCCAGAGCACAGGCACAGAGCAAGGCCACCTCATCCTGAGACTGGTGAGAAGGTTGAGTGTAGCTGCATATCAGTTCATGAGGGCTGGACCCCAGGTCAAGGGGGCCCTGTCAGATGCCTCCATGTGCTTGAAGAAGCTAAGGTGAAATGGGAGAGGGGGAGGTGCTTAAGGTGAGTGGTAGGGGTTTAGAACACTCAGAAAATGGGAGAGAAAGTGGGCAGAAAACAAGAAAAAGTTCAGACAAAAAGAACTGAGGCCTGACCCAAGATTAAAAATCATACCTCTGCAGTGGCAGCAATCTGCACGGCTATGTGGTTTTCTCCAGCAGAGCTCAGCTGGCCGGGCTGAGGAGTGGGGGAAGCAGAGCGGGGAAGATCAATCCCAGCTTGGGGCTTTGCAAGTCAGATATGCCAAGGATGAGCAGAGCTGAGGGTGCTAATGAGTGCCTGAAGTAATCAACCGCAGACAGGATCGAGGGGAAGCAAGGTTGAGGGAGGTAGGAAATGGAGGGATGGAGGTCTGGATGCTGGCAAGGAGCAGATGTCACAGGATGTGAGTGTGAGAACTGGAAGGACAAGAGGTGGTGATCCCGAGTGGGATGCTGGGACGTCAGCTTTCAGAGGTGGAACAGCTCTGAGTGATGGAAATAGGTAGCTGAGCGTAGTGGAGAATGAAGGCCATTGGTGCTAAGCAGCTGCAGAGTGTCAGATGGGTCACTCAGATGAAACAGGTATTGCTCCAGAAAGCAGGAAGATAATCAGGTGCTAAAGGCTTCCACGAGTATGAGGGAAGTGGCTTAAGGTCAGAAAATGACAGAGAAAAGGAAAGGGAGACAACCACAGGTATTTACAGGAACCAGTGCAATATTCAGCTTGACCATAGGACCCAGGGTGGACTGGGTAAAGGGAAACCACAGGAGGTATGGTTACCAATAATAGGTTGGGGAAGAATCAGAAAGATCTTTGAACGTCAGGCTAAGAAGTCTAGACTTCATCAGGAAGGCAATAGGGAGCCAGCCACTGAAGGTTGCTGAGCACCTATGTAATAGAGAGGTATACTTTGGGAAGATAATAGAGGAAACAGCACTGGACTTAGAGTCAGAAGACTGGGTTCGATAATAAACAGCAGCTACAATTTACTGTGCACTTACTCTGTACAGGCCACTGTGCTAAGCACTCTAAGGGGGTTGTCTCATTTGTTCTCATACTGGACTCAGTTCAGCCAGGTCTTAAGCTGCACGGTCTTAAGCAAGAATACCCTACCCCTCTCGTCTTTGGGACTCAGTTCTCCCATCTGTTAGGAGGAAGGGGATGGAACTAGGTGTCTTTGCAAGGGCTGGTCCAATTCTGCCATTCTAGGGCTGGGCAGCCCTGAGGTCTATAAGGCCTCACCCTCCTATCAGATGGAATTCAAGAGACTTACAGCTGAAGGAGTTGGGGGCTGGCCCAGCAAGGTGAGCCCAAGCAGGACTCAACCACCCGGGGCCAGTCAAGGGAGGCAGAGCAGTTGAATAGCCTCCAGCTCCTTCTCGCTTCCCACTGGCTTGCAGAAAATCGGCGGGCATTCCGACCTGAGAGAGAAGAGAGGGCCTGAGGAGAAGGAACCATTAAGCCCGCACCCAATCTTGCACTTTGTAAAGTTTGACTCTGTCCCCCCTCATCCCCCCAGCCTCCCCACTCTACACCTCCCAATTGCTCAAAGCATTCAGGGCCCTTTGCCCCTGCCCAGTTTAGTTGGCTCTGAGAAAAAACATGGTGGAGGAAGATTTGTCCACTGCTGCCGCTGGGCCCTCTTGGGCAAACCTAAACCTTCAAGAAGGGATGTGTCCACCTGATGCTATTCAGCTGAGAGCTGAGGACAGTGGTAGATGCTTCTGCCTTGGCCGCATTAGGCCCTGGGGCTAGGGCTAGTCTCCCTCACCAGTCTTGGTGTTAGCCACGATCAGTTCAAGGGTCCATCTGAGGATGTAGGTGGGCCGGATCCCGCTGTCCCCCAAGGCTGGCAGCTCAGAGAGCATCCTCTCCAGCAGGGCCTGCGTGAAGGTCTGGGAGTGCAGGCCCCTGAGCAGGGGCTGCCAGAATTGAGAGAATGGCTTTGGCACCAGGATGTCATTCAAGTCCACATTTTCTGGTTTGTGAGGGACACCCATTGACGAGGAAAGAGGAGGCGCGGGAGCGGGGGGGGGGGGGGGGGACAATCAGAGACAGGGAGAAAGAGGGAAAGGGAAGAAGGAAGGGAGGGAGAGAGGGAGGAGAGGAGAGAGGGACAGAAGAGGGTGAGGGAGGGAAGGAGAGAGTGAGAGAGAAGGAGAGGGAGCCCCATCACCAACAACAACAGAGTTGCCACCACAGAATAAGAGGAAAGAGGAGAGCAGAACAGCGGGGAGAGAAACTAGTTAGTATCTGGCAACCAACAACTGACTCAAAACAGAGTATAAAAGAAAAAGAACTCTGGTTCTAGCTTTCAGCTTTGTCAATAACTCACTGTGTGACTTTGGGTCAGTACCTTCCCCTCTCTGGACCTCAGTCTGCCCATCTGTAACATGAGGATGTTGGACTAGATGACCTCACAAGGCCCTTCCAGTTCTGCTGTTCTAGCTCTCTAGGAAGCGGCCAAATCACAGTTAACATAGCACAATATGAAGACTCCCCTCACTCCACCCCACCCCACCCAATTCCAGGCCGTGTAAGAATAGCCCAGCGACTACTTATCAGTGGGGCTACCTGTTCTGCTCAGGTGAGAGGGGCTTCCAGAGGCTATAGAATGGCAGGAAACAGCCCTTGATGCCCAGTCCAGGGCCACCCTGGCCACCCCTGGTGTTCTTGCCCAAGAAACACAGAACCCTAAGGCTGCAGTGAGCCCTAGGACCCTACCTTCATAGTCTATCTGTAAAGCTGCCAACTGCTCAAATGTGGGGATGAGAAAGCCGTCATCCAAAAAAGCATCCAGCACAGCCTCCCTGGAGCAAGAGGATATTTAATTAAACAAACTGAAGCAGGCAGAAGACCCTGTTCTACTCCCCTACCCACTCCCAAGGCAGGTAAAGCCTCTGACTCAAGTGGCTAAAGCAGCACGGGGGAAAAGGAAGGCAGTTTACAGGTGGATCTCAGGCCTCAGCCTCCTGGGGAAGGCGCTGGACCAGAGACTGATCAGTGGGTTTTGAACAAGCATTTACCAAACAAATGCTGATCTAAGGCCCATAATGAGGGCAGCAGCAGCTGAACAAAACTGAAAACACAGATGGTGAGAAGTCCCAGGCCCACAGAGGAGTTAAATGCCTGGGGTCACAGGGCTTTTAGACTTTAGTTCCTGCTCAGTCTTTTTGTTTCTCTTGACAGTCTTCTGGTCTCCTACCCCTCTCCCTCTACCTAGTTGCCTCTTTCAGATCCTAGATGCAGAAACTCTGGGGAATCAAATATGGACCAAATATGATCCTTATTCCTATGGACCCCAAGAACCCAGAACTAAGTTATAGAGGTTGAAAGTGTAGGCTATAGGGGTAATCCCTCAACCTCATCCAGCTCAAATCGAAACCAGCAACAGCCAGCTGTCTCCTCCAGAGCTTAGCAGTTCCCTGAGAGGCTCTCCCAGGTGACAAGGCCTAGAGGGGGAACAAGAGCTCCCAAAGTGTCTCAATGCCTGAAGGGCTGTTATGCTCAGATCCCCACCTCTACCAGGCTCGAGGAGGAAAGAGTTGTCCTTCCATCCATCTCCCATCTCCTGAGGTCAGTATCCAGGAAAAGCACTTAAAGCAGCCAGCCAGCTGCCTGCTAAGCACAACCAGGAAGACACTACTGTCTAGGGGCACAAGGACAGTTTTCCCAGCTGCTGGGGAGGTTACCACCCACCCCTTTGCTGAAGGGTGCAGCCAAGAAGCCTATGCTGGGCAGACATTGATAATACACCTTTGGAACTACTAATATCCTGGCAATGAAGACGACTCCAGGGGTAATCCCAACGTGCACTGTAGGCGCCCACCCAAGCCCACTCTGCCACCTACACCACCTTCCTATACTCTCTGCTCCATCCCAGATTCCTTCTAACCTCTCCCTAGCTGGGAATGTCTAGCTTTGCCTTCATAAGTTCTTAGTGGAGGGTTCCCCAAAGATCTTTCCAGCTGAATTTAAGTAGCAAGCCCCCAAGAACTAGGGAGGAGAGGAATGAATAGATACTGTTTGTCTGCTCTGGATTGAATTGAGCATTATTTTTTGGGAAAAAGAGGCTCATGGCCATACTAAGTGGGGAAGGTCTTAGTGTTTTGAGGAGCCAGGCCCTGGGAAGGTGCCTCCTTGGTCTCCCCAACCATAGCTATCCAGTGGATAGTGATACTCTCTAACAGCAGATCAAAAGAAAAAGACAAGCAGTGCCCACCATATATCTTTTACCTCAAACTTGGACAAGGGCTAGGCAGTGAGGTGGTAGGGTAAGGGCTTCTCCTAGTTCCCAAGAACTCCACATACCACTGGACAGAGAGGAAAAAAGCTGGCCAGGTTATGGATGACAGTACACAATCCTGCCTTTGGCCATTTTAGTGACTCAGAGCAGGCAACCCCCACTTGGTAGCTGGCAGGGCCAGGGGAAGACGGTCATACAGAATGCAGGGTCACACCATGGGGGATCAAGATTATCTCTGGGATTTCCTAGAGGTTGGCAAGCTGGGATGTGGAAACCGACTTCAGTGAGGCTAATATGCTCTAGCCAAGAGAGTAGGCAGCCCCTGATTACCTAGTTACAAACCTGTTCTCCCATGTGATGCCCTTGAGCTCAGCCAGGATGCATTCTACAGGTGGGGACAGGTTATTCCATGCCTTAATGGCCTGAGGTAAATGCCTAAATTTCTCCAGTACCTGCCAGCAAAGAGGGTCCCATCAGAAGGCTGGTTCAGCCAGGCAACCCTCTTCCACCCCTCCAGGATCCCTTCCCATAGGACCTCTCAGCACCTCCCTTCAGGGGATAGGGCAGAACATGCAGGGGTGGGCCCATAACTCCCCTATTGGTCTTGCAACTAAAAATATCCTGACCCTCAAATGCCAGACTTTCTTCTCTTCCTCCTCCTCCCTCTCACCCTGAATTCCCTGTGGCTCCCAATCACCAGATACCCCAATGCTAAGATATCCAGTGGGGGAATTTTGCTGGAGTTGGGCAGAGATCCTAGGGCCAACGGGTGAAGGGAAGCAATGGGCTAAGGAATAAAGGGAATCAGGAAACCCGGGTTCTAATCCAGGTTCTATCATTAACTGCATATGTGACCTTGAGCCAGTCCCTTCACTCATCCATGGCTTCAATTTTTTTATCTGTGAAAAGGAAGAATTGAGCTGAATAGTTTCTAAGCTACCTCCCTTCCTGCTAAAACAGCTCCCCTCAAGCTCACCTGATCTAGGAAAGTTCCTGGACATCATCTGCTGATCAGTTGCAGTACTGCAGGGCTATGCAACCACCTATGCCCAGTTGTTCCCTATAACCCAGTAGGGCAGATTATCCACAAACTTCCATCGTCTCCCCACTCCATGGGTGTGGAGGGTCAGCCAACTGGACTCTGCTTCTCTTGTTTCTGAGAAGTTCCCTCAAGCTTTGTCACTTTTCTTTCAAATTCCTTCTTAGGACTTCTCTAAGGTAGCTGGCAAGAAGGAAGAAATGGCCTAGGCAGGAGAGAACATGCCAAGTCAAGAGCACTTTCTTACCTTAAACTGCTCCTCTTCATATGATACCAGCAGTTCCCGGGCTCTTTCTGAAAACAGAATAGGGAAACAGATAGGGCAGCTAGCCCAGCCCCCTGCTCCTGATGGGATTCTGAGCCATTCTCACCTCATTTCTTGAGTTGGAAATTGGGAACTAGAATTCTTGCCTCTCCTACTTTACAGGGATCAAGGAAGATGGCTTGTGACAGTAATTTTTTTAAGCTAACACTCACCACAACCCCAGAGGAAATGCTGAGCCAGGGAAACAACCGGTGTCAACCCTAAGCCTGAGTCTTCCAGGCTCATGGGCCCCTTTCTGCCCCTGCAAGGACACCTACCATATAGCTCTTTATGTCTCAGAGTCTTTTCCCAATGCGAATCAACCTCTTTGTTTCCTTCGCTGTCTCCATCAGCCCTGACATCCAGCTCTGCACCTTTCGCCTCATCCTTAGGCTCTGGTCTCTGTTCTGTGACATCCTCAACAACAATGTTTTTATCATCCTCTTGGTCCTCTTCATCTGTCTCTTCCCTGTCCTCCTCCAACTCCCAGGTCTCTCTCAGGCTGTTCTCCAGTTGGCGGCACCAGTACGTCTTCTGGAGCCAATCCAGGACAAAGTAGCAGCCTAAAGGAGGAGAGGAAGAAAGGCAGTGCCATAGGAGCAGCCACAGGCAAGCAGCTCCTAGCAGGCCCCCAGCCTCATCTTGTGAGCCTTATGGGAAAGCCCCAGGGAAGAGGCATGGCTCCAAGAAGGCACAAATCTCAAATATCCAGAAGTGGCCGCTCTTGCTCTGGGTTATCCCTCTGTTCTTTGCTTTCTCCTGCTCACCAGTACCTTTCCTAGAAAAAACTAAAACTAGACTTGGATGTGGGATGCCAAAAATGGCACAGGCTTGGAAAGTGGGAGAACAGGGACCCAAGCCCCACTAGCTAGTTACATGGCCTTGGCCCGAGATCTTTTCTAGATCTGCTTCCCCCACACAAAAGGTCTAGGCTGAAGCAGGGGTTCTTAGTTGGGATGAGGTGTCCAAAGAACCCCTGGGTTCATAACACTTGATGGCTCACACCTCTCAACCTGCCCCCCACCACTCCCCTCCTCAGGCACAAATGCTAAGGGATGAGTTTCAATAATCAATATACCAAAATAGGATCAGAACAGTGCCTTGCCAAGCCTTATTACAAAAGGAAAAATCAGTAATACCAATCCTGTCTTCACTTAAATTTGGTATTTGTTCATCGTGGGTTTTTCCACATTAAAATGTTATTTATCTTGATTACTGAGTTCTGATGAACCCTTAAAGTTTGTGCCCAAGGCGAGGGCCTCACTTGCCTCACTCTAGTCCTGGCTCTGACCCCAGGTGGAGACCTTCCTAACCTCTTCCTCTACCCACAGTGCCACCCAGCCCAGGCAGTTAACTATGGCAGTTGCACTCCCTGGGGACTCACCTCTGCGGCAGTCATTTATATGGGGCATTTTCTTATGGGTCAACTCATGGCGAAGTTCAACAATCCAATCCGGAATGTTCACCTGATTGTTGGGGAGGATATTGAGTGTAGAAATTAGAAAATATTAAAGCTAGAAGGCACCACAGACATGAATTAGCTTAGCCTGCCCTCATCTTACAGATAGAGAAATTGAGGTCCCAAGAGGAGGTTCCAGTCTTAGTAGTAGAGCCAAGATTATAAACCAGGTCTCCCGATTCTTTTCACTACTCTGTGAAGGTGTTCTTGAAAATCAGAAAAGCCATTTGCCTCACCCATCCACCAACCACCCTCCTCCAACAAAGAGGTTCCTGTGAATGAGCATTAGCAATCACCTTCTCCAGCCTCCCTCTGCCTTATCTATACCAGTCCCTGTCCCTGCGTACCCTTTACCCCTTCTTCCTCCCTTTCTCCCTCCTTCCCACACCTCCTCCAGGAAGCTTCTTTTGATGGCTGAGAACTTGCCTGCCCTCTGGTCCTCTACATGTCTCACATACTCACTCAGGGCAGGAATGTCTGGCATTTTCATGCTGCTTGGCTGAGCATGTCTCCTCCCTCAGATTGTCAGCTCCCAGAGGGCAGGCACTGTGACTGCCACCTATTTCCTGTCCCCACTCAGTGGTGCATTCGGCCGCCTTAGCTTCACCGGGCCACTCCCAGCAAGCTAGGCAGTAAAGCCCACTGAAGATGGCAGCCATGAGCAAGAGAGTAAGTCTGCTTCTTTCAACTGGAGGGTGAGGGTCTGGGGTTCTTGTTGGGCTTTGCCTGGCCAGTAGTGGTGGGATGAGCTAGTCTGACTGTGTGCCCACATCACCCCATGCCCCATTTACTGAGCCCTCCTGGGGAGAGAGAATTGAGCAAGGCCACCTTATCATACGTACCTCCTGAGCCAGGAACTTGAGGGGGAGCTTGACAAACTTCGTTTTCCTTTCCGAGATAAGATTCACAAACCTGGGATTGGGGCAGAAATAAGTGGCACAGCCCAAGTAACTGTTTTACTCAAACCAGTGGGGCTTCAAAACACCTTGCTGAGTTACTGATGCTTCCCATTTCTACAACCTTTCCACTGACTGTTCTGTCCTGTTCTTATGGTTGGTGTCAGCCAGAGCAGGTAAATTTCCATCCAGTCCAACATTTACTGAGAGTCTGCCCTGTGCTGAAGCCATATAGATGAATAAGACACTGCTCTGGCCTTGAAGAATTCAGCCTAGGATAATCATAACATAACATAACATTATGCTAGAACATTATATGTTATAAATACTAGGACAAAGGACTACATCAAATGATGAAGGGGAGCACAGCTAAATGATGGAGAAGGTAAGAAGAGCTAGAGAGGACCTCCAGGCAGATAAAGGGAACAGTATGAGATGAGCAAGGACTTTCACAGATGAGAAAACTCAGTGGCAGCCTTTTTCCCAGTGTGCATGAGGCTGCTAGAACCACTCTGTGTCACTTGCTAAGTCAGGAACTACTGGCCCACATCTCCACTTCCACAACTCAGCAATCTTTCCGTGTTCGTGGAGAGAAGGGGGAAGAGTGTTGCTAAGTATAAATGGGGGGAAGGTTGGAAAATCCACATTAAATTTTGGCCAAGAACATGTAACCATTCAGAAAAGTTCCTCTGGGTGACAAGAGTTAAAGGGGAAGGAAAAAATCAAACTGTCAAAGCTGGACGAGACCCATAGAGATCTCTCGGTCTGAGCCACCCCCACCTCACATTCCAAGAAAAGAGAAGGCTCTAGGGAAAGGAAAAAGAGGAATGTGTGTTGACAGGGGGTACCAAAAGTTGTCGAGTCAAGCCATCATGGGGTGACCCAAGCTTTGCTTATTATATGCTACTCCCACCCCAGACCCTACTCCCAAAACCACCCCCCACTCCTACCCATGTAGGTCTTACCTGACCAATGCCATGCCATAGAGCAGTCTAAGTTCATCAGTGCCCAAGCCACCAGTTACATCCATGAGCTTACAGCGTACCAGGTCAGCAGTAGAAGCCACTGCCAGGGGGAGTTCGTTGCCTAACCTAAAAGGCCACAGTCCAGCACCATCATAAAGGTCCCTTACACTCATCCACCACCCACCTCAGAACCTAGGTTGCTGTAAGCTATTCTGATTATATATTGGCTCAAGAGTTCATGAACAGACACAAATCAAGAAAGTGGGAAGAGAGAGGATAATGTCCCTGGGATCCAATAGTACACAGGGCATGAGAGGCTGTCTAGGGTATACACAGGACGTCTAACTGCTCCACAATCAACCAACAATTAAGTGTGGTGGACATACCCCTTTCTTTCACCCCGAAACCCTCAACTCATTCAGCTGGAGAAGACCCTTATCCCTTATCTCCTCCTAACTCAATCTTACCAACTGGACTGAGGAACCCCATTCGAACACGATTTTGTAGGCAACCTCCCCCCCCCGCGACAATTTGAATTGGAAATCCACCCAAGGGTACTAACCTACTACTCAACCGCTGGCTCAGCCACAATGGTCCTCCCGCACCCTCCCCAAGATGGAAGAAGGTAAGGGTTAAAGCTCAAAGATTTTACAAGAGGGTTGTGGAGGCACATTCTCTTTCTTTTTCTTTCTTTCTTTCTTTCTTTCTTTTTTAACCACCCCTGTACACAGTTGTATATCTTGGCTGCACGTCCTTCTAGTTGTGGGATGTGGAACGCCGCCTCGACGTGGCCTGACGAGCGGTGCCATATCCGCGCCCAGGATCCGAACCCTGGGCCGCCGCAGCGGAGCGCGCAAACTCAACCACTCGGCCACGGAGCCGGCCCCCACACTCCCATTCTTTCTGCAAACGGGATTAGTCCAAGAGCTAGGCTGTGACTTTCCCCCAGGCACCTGGGAGAGGGGCAACGCCCAAACCTCTCACAGGGACACCATTAGGCAATTTAGGGGAAGACTGGAGAATATGGCCTTACAGGAATTCTACAAAGGAAGAGGTAAGGCGCCACCCGCACGCAGGCAGAAGGGCTGAACCTGCCGCCTTACCTGCTCCTCCACACGGTGATGCGGTTCAGCGCGTACCGCTGCAATTTATGGTCGTCAGAGAACAGATACACCGTCACCTGATCCCACTCGGCCTTACTGAGCCAGGCGACCACGATACGCTGGGCCCAGAGTGGCGACGTCCCTCTCTCTTGGACGCACTTCCCGCACCACGCACTCCACACGCGATCCATCACCCGGGGACCCAGAAATTGCCCGGCCCCGGATTCCCACCAGACACTGGGCTCGATGCAGCTCGTGCCACGGCACTCCACACAGCTCGCAGCCCAACGTGCCACCCTCACTCTAAACCGCTGCTGCACCAGCAGCCAATGGGGAGAGCGAAACCACGACGCAAGCCCGCCTCCCAGTATTAGCGTGGCAAATCGGAACGCAAGAGCAGGGGGCCGATGAAACAAGTTGGGACTACGTCCTCGCTGGCCGGAAGTGTTCTTTTCTCAAAGCAACCGTAGCAGCTGCAAGCATTCTGCCTCAAGGTTCCGGTAGTTTCCTGATTGCTGACGGGTTTCTGTCCCAGGCCGTGAGGGATGTTGTCTGGACTGCAGGAGGAATGTTAGTTTGCGCCCCTTGGCGGGTAGGGGATGGATTGTGATCATCCAGTGTATACTGGAAACGCGCTTATGTTTTTATTGGCATGAATCAGCGCCTGATCCAGTAAAACACTGTGGACACTGAAGCAAGACTACAGAGCAGATATCTAATATCTAGATTTCTGAAGTTGGGCTGAAGAATCTGCTGAGTTTTCACAAATGTACAGTGAGGGGCTTGGACTGGGTGATCTCTAGGTTCTCTTCCATAGCTGAAAATTGTAGGATTTTTCTCTGCCAGAATTCCACTGCTTGGTTGGTTTCAGTATCTGCAAAGATATGCTTAATTTTTCTGCATAATTCCTTGGGATTCTAGAGTTCTGGTGGGAAAGCAATATTTTGAAGGCTTTCTGATTTTACACATTGGCTAAAATGTGTTCAGAACTCTGCCCCAATCCTTCTCACCATCAATGCAAATAATCTGTAACCAATCTATAAATCAAAATTGGGGTGAGTTTATTATCAGCCAGATCTGAGGACCATATAGCCTGGGGCACCAAAGAAGTGGGGTGTATAGATTGGTTATATACCGTCAAAGAGCATGTATCACATGTGATTGGAATGTCCCTTTTATAACAGTCACAAGATTGCCTAGCCAACATAGCAATTCACACAGCAGGTAGCAGGTCTGCTGTCTCAAGCTGGGTGGTCACGGGAAGGCACAGCAATCAATCCCTAGCATAGGGAGAGATGCTTATCCTTAAGGAAATGCCAATGTGGGGAAAGTTGCATCTTTATCTTAAGGACATTTGTTCTTGTCTTTGGGGCATAACAAATGCTTAAAGTGGATATACAGTGCATGCTCAATGGCCATGTCTGGCCCTTTTGGAAAAACAAGGTCAGGCTGAAATAGTTTTACAACAAATAGCTTCCTCATATAATCCAATATATCCTATTGTTTGCCATTTGTTTATCATTTTACACCTTTTGATCTATAATCTTTTAATAGAAAGCATTGATGATCAAAATATTGTGCCTCGGCGCCAGGGTGGTTGCCGCCTGCCCTGGGTCCATCATGTAACTGGGTGCTAGGCTTTTATCTCATTTATTTGCCCACTTGTCCATGTTGGGTGGAAATAGTCAGACAAGCACAGTGGTATATATATTAACAGAGGAAGCATTTCATAGGTTATATAATTTTCAGTTAATTTTAGATTGTTGCACAAACGTATGTGTGCTTTTCTATGACTTCTATGTTTACGTTGTTCACAATTATAGAACAAGTGCACTAACAGTGATAATAATTCAACATATTGGAAAACATTAGTTTAAAATGAGTTCTTACGCATAGTCCTTATCAGAAAAGGAAATTTGTCCAGGGTTATAGGATCGATTGACCATCTCAAGCCACTGAACAACCATTCCTCTAGCTTCTATGCCAGTCTTACAACACTGAGTAAAGAAAACAGCAATTAATTTGAATATTATAACTAGTACAAGAATTCCAAGAAGTAATAGAAATAGGAATTGCAATCTGGATCAAAAAAGGGAACTGATACTGGAAGGGAGCCAGCCACACAAATCAAGACTGGGTGTAGGATCGCTTAAGGCATTCACCTGTTTTTTCATGTGCTTTAGGAGAGACGACACATTGGAAGATTCATCACATATAAAACCACAGCATTCGGTTTGAGTGATTGTATATGTACAACCTTGGGATGCAGTTAAAATATCTAAAGCCATTCTATTTTGAAGGACAGCCTTTTTCATTAAAGACATTTTAGTATTTAATAAGGCTATTCTTGCTTGACTATGGTTAAGTGTGTGTTGAGTAAATTTAGAGCTTCTATGTGATAATGACATCTTTTAGCCCCAAAGGAGCAAATATAGCTGCTTGGTGGCCGTACCAGTGGAACACTGAATGAGCCCATCTGGCCTTAAAGAGAGGGAGATTGGGAACAGGTGTTAGTTCAGTGTGAATCCTTCCCTGCTTCCAAGCTAAACTCAGGGTGCAGTGGTTTAGCCATCCAGGCAGTAAACAAGGCCAGAGATTTGTTCCGCATAGCCACCGAATTCCACTAGGAGCCGCCCAATAAACGCCTGGCCTTTGAGACCAGTCTGTTCCAAATCAATCACTTTAAGTACGATAGTATTTTGAAACCTTAAATGGAACAATTATAAAATAGGTATACAGTTTAAGCATAACAAAGGTTTAAATGAAGGCATATAAGGTTGGGAATACAGGCCTGGTCTGGAGTCTTGGGACAGCTGTCTACAACAGATGCTGTCTTCTTCTCATCTTGGTGTGGTCCTTTCCAACAGGGCTTCAAAAAGTCTTTTATTTGATGCCTCTTCTGATAAATAAGTTCTCCAGATTATAGTCCATGATCCTTAAGGTCTGGGAGCTCTCTGAGAAAAGAACCAACTACCAACCTTTCATTTCTTTTAAGCATCTCAATGAGACCCTGACAACAATGTAATATATCTCTCTTAAGCAAAGTTGGTTCATATATTTCCTCATCTAATTGCATAGGCTGTCCTATTATTTCAAAAGGAGACAGCCAATGTTTACCAAAAGGTGTAGATTTAAGATTAAGAAGCACTAGCTGAAGAGCTTTTGGCCATGAGAGAGTAAATGCTTCTGAATCTTTGCCAATTGTCAACTGTGTCGTTAATTCTTTCCACCAGTCCTGAGGACTAGGGATGGTAAGCGCAGTGCAAATGCTGTATTATTGGCCAAATGTTGCAAATAGATTTAATTATTTGTCTGATGAAATGAGTTCCCTAGTCACTGTGTAACTCAGTAGGAATTCCCCAAACAGAAATTACCCTTTTCAATAATAATTTACCTAAAGTCATTGCTCTTCTGAAGGAAAGGCCTCAACCCAATGTGAGAACATACAGATCATTACGAGATATATTTATCCTTGAGATGGTGGCATTTGGACAAAATCCAATCGCCATACCTCAAAGGGGTCCTTTAGGAAGGGGAAAGTGGCCTTGTGAGTCATGAGATAGTTTCCCTAGATTATGTTTTTGGCATATAGCACAACGAGCATAGGCTTTATGAGCCACTATGTGAGAAAGTTTCCAAAAGTATAATTTTCCTCCCTTTGTTGCCACCTTTATTTCTTTTCTTCCATGGCAATTTCTTTAGCTTATAGAAGGAAATCTTTTACTGGGTTAGCAGAGTTAATAGAATGTAGTGGGCATTCTTGAGGCTGGACAGCATATCCAGCTTGGTAATATCTTTGCTTATCATTTGAATAAGACTCATCTGTAAACCAAATAAAATAACAGAATGCAGTTGTGATCTTCTCCCCTTGTGATGTTGGAAGCAAGATAGCAGAGTTAAAATAGTGAATAATATTTATTTACATAGTATAACCTAAGAAGGTTTATCATCATTTACTTGACAATGCTTCCCATGCAATTTAGCATACCAAACAAACCTAATTAGTATCCCCTCCTTTATAGGAAGAGAGAACAAATTTCTTTGAGAAGTCCAAGGGCCCCTCTGAAAATTCTCAAATAAGGTCAAAATAAATCCTTTATTTAGGATGTGAATTGTGGGGAGCTTGTCAAAAACATCAAAAGATTTTAAAACACTTGTTCAAACAAGATCAAGGGGTTGCTGATCTGGTTGCTGTGAAACAAGGGTCACTGTAAAACAATGCTTAGTTATCCATTTAACCAAATTGACAACAGAAACAGTCAAGAGCAGAGAGTTAAACAGTCTGAAAACCTTAATAGAGAGACCAGTCTTTTTGAACATAGGAAATTACTTTAACAAAACATAGATCTTCTAGCTTTTAGGTAAACTTACTCAAAAATACAAAAAAACCTTTTGTAACTGCTTCATCAAGAGCAGACTGAGAGTTTAAGAAAATTATCCCTTTTAAAAGAGAAAGCTAAATTCTAATTCTTGTACCAGCTTACTTTTTATATTAAAACTCATTTACTTAATTAGATTCATTTCAATCTCAGCCAACTTGACCTGTACAAAACTCAGGGTTTTACTTCCCTCGACCTTCTGTCACTTTCTTTTTACATTCAGAATTTGTCCTATACCTTTCTTTTTTCCTCCTAGTACTTTGGGACAAATTTATCTTTCTCAAAAAAATATTTCCATTCTTTATACCTTCTTTACTGAAAACATACACCTTTCCTTGAATACAAATATATTTTCCTTAATTTCTGGTAGCTTTAATCACATATTAGAAATTTTAACCCTTAGAAACTTTAACTTTCAGTGAAAACTAAGAAGTAAGTAATTATAAACTGTCTTTTACATTAGCATTCCGTGGCTTGGTAAATTTATAAATACCTTTTATAATTTCTAAAAGCATGTTACTTCATAGTACAACCTTTTAATAAAATACAAGACATGTTTACTAATAGACCCAAACACCTTTTAGTTTTTCTGTAATAAGAAGCCATGAGTAGATAAACTTGTATTTAATAATTGATGTCTAATATTTTATCTTATTTAGAGATAATCTAGATATTCAATGAATTTTTATCAATTAAAATAACGTAGTAAAACTTCAAAGTTTAAAGTTATCAAAGAGATTTTGGAAGCCATTTGAAGTACATGCACCATAACACATAATTGTTGTTAAAAGTTCACCCAACACTCATCTTTTTCACATCTGTTTAGTTATTTGTTCTCAATAATTATTTAGATTGCCTATAAGACTTCATGAGACATTAGACAAAATTAGCCATCATTTGAAGTTATTATTTTTGTTAACCAGTTTTGTAATAAAGATGACATCAGTTTATTTGACCAATAAACATAGAATAAAGGGTACATGTCTGCATCATATCCAATGCTGATAACTTTGAGGATGTGTCTATTTTCATCAAACCAACAAACTTAAACAAGCTTTTGTTATTTCAAATCACA